GGTTGTGGGTGACTGTCCTTGTGCATTTTAGGATCGTAGCAGCCTTCCTGGCCTGTACCCACTAGATGCCAATAACACCCACCCATTCCCCTAGTTGTGACAACCAGACATGTCTCAGACATTGCTAAATGTCTTCAGTGGATGTCCCGTTGAGAGCCATTGATATATATGAATAGTCATCCTAATCAAATGCATGCTCCCTGTACCTACCCCACTGAGAACTTGCCCTGCTATTAACATCTTGCATTGTTGTGGCATATTTGTTATGAATATAATTAGTGAACAGTATAAGTGCATTATGATTAATAAAAGCCCACAGTTTATGTTAAGGTCCACTCTTGGTATTGCCTGGGTTCAGTGTGATTTGAGAAATGCATATTGCCATGTGCTGATCATCACAGTATCATTCAGAATTATTTCACTCTTAACAATTGCTGTGCTCCACTCATTCATCTCCTTTCCCACACTCCTAGCAGCCACGGATCCTTTACTGTCTCTCTAGTTTGGCCTTTTTCACAATGTCATATGTAGTCATTTCAGACTGGCTTCTTTTACTTTGAAATATGAATTTTAACCTGAGAGCCAAAGAACTGATGCTTTTGAACTGTGGTATTGGAGAAGACTCTTGAGAGTCCCTTGGACTGCAAGGAGATCCAACCAGTCCATCCTAAAGGATATCAGTCTTGAATATTCATTGGAAGGACTGATGCTGAAGCTGAAGCTCCAATACTTTGGCCACCTGATTCAAAGAACTGACTCACTGGAAAAGGCCCTGATGCTGGGAAAGATTGAAGGCAGGAGGAGAAGGGGATGACAGAGGATGAGTTGGTTGGATGGCATCACCGACTCGATGGACATGAGTTTGAGTAAACTCCGGGAGTTGGTGATGGACAGGGAGGCCTGGTGTGCTGTGGTCCTTGGGATCGCAAAGAGTCGGACACAGCTGAGCGACTGAACTGACCTGATGTATTTTCATGGCATGATATCTCATTTCTGTTTGTTGCTGAATAATATTCCATTGCATGGATGTACAACAGTTTGTCCGTTCACCTGTCCACGACCAAGCATTGTGGTTGTTTACAGTTTTTTTCAGTTATGAATAAAGCTGATGTAAATATTCATGTGCAGGTTTTGGTGTGGACCTAAGTGTTCAGCTCAGCTGGGTTGAGGACCGTGACTTCAGGATCATACAATAAGAGTATTATTACTTCTGTAAGAAACTGACACCCAGAATGGCTGTGCCTTTTACGTTTCCACTACCAGTGAATGAAAATTTTTGCACTTTGAGGATAGTTTACTTTTTAAATTTTGAAGCAACACTGAATCTTCTCATTCAGGGAGAATTCTGTCTCCAATATATGTTTTAAAATACGTTTTAGAAACGTTTTTTCTTTTTCTTCAATAGGTCTTGAGTGTAATCCTTGATGTTGAACTTGAATCTCTCTGATCATGGTGCTGAAAGTTTTGGTCAAATTAATAATTGTCTCTAATGTTTTTTTCAGTTGATTCTTTTGTGATATAAATAAATACTCTTATCTTCTCAGTGAGTTTTACCATTTTATATCTCGTATTTTTCACTTCTCTCTTGTCTTAATGCATTTTCATACATAACCCATAGTATTGAAATGGAGTGGTAATTGTGATCTTCCTTGTTTTGTTCTGATTTTAAAATTTGTTCCTGATCTTGATAATAGTTCTTCTAATGTTTTACCATTAATATATTGTGCTTACTCTTGGTTTCTGGTGGATAAACTAGATTATTTTTGAATTTTCCTAGATTCCTCTTATCAGCAGTTTTATCAAGATTTTTTTGAATCCTTTTTGGTTTGTATTGAAAATAATCATGTAGCTTCTAACTTTTAACCTGTTAACATGGTTTCCTAACATAATTTCCTAATATTGACCCAATGTTTAATTTATTCAGTTTCAGTTTTAGGGTTATATTACTCTTGCAGAATAAATTAAGAAACTCCTTTTTCTTTCTCGCCAACAATGTACTGTAACATTTCAGAGAACACGGGGGTAATCTGTTCCTTGAAGGCTCAAAAGCTGAGTCTGTTGACTTTTGGAGGGACAGTTTTCTATCTTTTATCCCCTTTTACATTTCTACTCTGATTTATCTATTTTTCTTTCTCTTGAGTTAGTTTAGTTAATATATTTTAGACTTACTGATAGGAAGTTATACATGGTATTCCAAATGCTATGCAAACTATATTTTTCTTTATAAAATTTGCTAAGGCAGTATTTCATGGTTTTTCCAACTTTAGTTGTAAGAATTCATCTGAAGCATTTGCTAAAAATACAGATCCCAGAGATTCCCTAGGAGATTCAGTAATTCTAGAATGGAAGCTGAGATCTATACTTTCTATAATATCCAACAGATTCTAATCAGGTTAGGCAATTCTGATCTATTATATTTTTCTTCTAATTCCTTTCCTTCTACCATTTTCCCCTGGCTCTGGAATTGAATGCTAAGCTCATTTATTGCTGTTCTTTCTTATACCCTAGGATACTTCTTTGCCATGTCAAATATTTCATACAAGTATTTCCATGCCATTAATTTCCTTAAAGTTTGTGATTTCATAACTGTTATTTTTCTTTAACTTAATAATTATTTAGGATTTTATAAAAAAAAAATCTAAGCTAAATTGTTTGCAGGTGGCAGAGAGCTATCATTTTTATGGACATGTAAGCATCAATTTTCTTACTAGTAAAATGGATAGTATCTTCCTCATAGCGTTGTTCTGTGGGAATTAAATAAGATAATCCTTAAAAAAATGTTTTACAGAATCTGCCAGACTTTCAGTAAACATTTCAGTAAGTTGTATTTTGCTTTATTTCTAGTTTTCTTGAATTATGATCAGAGTTTCACCTCCTGATTGTAAAATTGGAATTTTCCTTTGGTCCTTTACATGTCATTTTTTGTTTTGTTTTGTTTTCTTAAAATTCCTAGATTGTTTGGATGGAATATGTATGCGAAAACTAAGAACTACCTCTCTAATGCTATAATTTAGAACAGGTATATTGACTGTGTCATTCAGTCCTTCGTGTACTTAATTAATGTTTCTACTAATGTTCTTTTTTTCTGCCTAGTTTTGAGAGAGATATGTTCACTTCTTTTTCTGTGATTTGCCTTTGCTTAACATTTATTGTTTTCATATGCCAGGTGCATTGTAACTGTTGAGAATACTAAAGTGGAACAAGTCTGACAAAGTGTTGCATTTTGAACTAAAGGAAAAAGAAGGAAAAACAATTTCGGAACATGAGAAGCAAACCAGTCTAGTAGGCAGCCTGGGCTGCGGGTGGGGCAGGCGCAGAATTAAATAAGGTGCCGGAGCGCGCCTTTCTGAAGGAGTGGTTGAGCCTGCATGCTGCGTGATAAGAGGCAGCAGCTCTTCTGAGACGATCGCAGCAGCCGGTACAAACCCCTGAAGGGGAAGGCATTCGCTCTGCTCGAGGGGCGGAAGGGAGACCACCATGGGAGGTCAGGTGTAGCTGTGGAGCAGGCTGTGTGGAGCCTTTGTCAGGAGCCATGGTAAAGAACTGGGAATTTACTCTGGGTGCAGTTGGTGTGTTTAATTAGGGAGTGAAAAGATCTTCTGTACGCTTCTAAGAGATTACTTTGGCTGCTGTTTGGAGAGTGGGTTGGAGTGGGACCAGAGAGGAAGTGGGCAGACCAGTGAGGACGCTGTTGCAGTGGATGAGGAACAGTGAGTGGGGCGGTGGTGCCGATGGAGAGAGCAGCTGAGAGCACTTGGAGCTGAATTGTTGTAGGAGAGAAGGGTTTGCCTTGAACAACTAAAAGCTGCTGTTTAATAATTAATTTTCCTCTTCTGTTTTTAACACTTTGTTAGCATGTGTTATGTTTTAGTATGATAAGGGTTTATGATTCTTTCTTATTGGGCTGGATTATCTTGTCTCAAATATTCCTCTTTTTCCATTTAGTGTTATTTTGCTTTCCAAAGACTGTTGCTAATCTTTTTTCTTTTTTTTTTTGGAAGTCAATTTCCACGTTGTTCAAGATTGAAAGTTAAGTGAAAAAGTTTACTTTTGGACATCATATATTCCATGAATTCTGAATATCATATTAAGAGACCAGAACTTACTCTCTCTGTGCACATTCTCTTTTCTTCATGTTTTCTAAGAGTTGAGTACAGGTAGCAGTGTACATTTTTATTTCTTATATTTTGTTATTGGTATTTTTCTTCCAAAGTTGCTCTCCCCTGTAGTTGGTACAGAACTTGATTGGTTCTGTTTTGCTCCTGCAGTTTGATTCCTTTTAATAGTACTCATTTCTCTTCTTCCCACTGTTTACATCTCATCTCTTTCTTCAAAAATCTACCTGACCATTTCATTACTCTTAATTGTGTCTCCTTCCTCTGTTTCAGTTAGAACTTTGATGTGTAATTTTCTAATAGGTTTTATTCAATAATCTGTTCCCTTCCCAGTTTTAATTTGACTTTCTCTTATAGTGACATGTAGTTGAAATGGATCGATTCCATTTAAAATTAAAATTTTAAAAATTGTGTGTCACTGGATCTCAGTGCCGGGTTAGTTCTCCACCAAGTGTAGAATGAGCTCCTGGATCTTTTTTGCAGTCCTCTGCAGTACTGTCTTGAGTTAATGCCACTTTATATTTGACAAGAGTTATTTTGATATTAGCTGTATTTGCATAGGAAAAGGGAGATTGAATGGGGTCATTTTGAAGTTTTTATATAATCCATGTAGATATTCAGAATTGATTGTTTGGAGGAAAAAACATTTGTTCATGTTGATTTCTCTTTCCTTAAGTTTGGGTTATTGTTACATATATATTATGTTTTTTTTTATTTAACATTCATCTCAAAAATATGAGCCACAAAAAGTATTATCTATCTTATTTCCATCAGTACCTAATACATTGCTCAGTGTGAATTAGGCTCTGAATAAATACAGTTGATGAGTTAATTGGGTGCTTGGTCGTTTCTTGACAGACCATCTTACTGATTTTCCTTTCTCAGTTAATGGAGACTCACCCTCATCTGCACCGACTGATAATGCTTCCAGCACGGGTACTGCAGTAGTATCTGGAGAACCCGCCTTGTCTTCAAATTGCACTAGTACTCCTGTTGAAGACCCTCCAGTTCAAGAAACACTGACCTCCTCGGAAAACAATGAATGTATTGTCTCTAACAGTGCAGCCTTTGGATCTGAAGCTCAAAATACGTTAGATCCTTCCATCTCCAATTCTGCAAGTAGCTCTGCTTTTGAAGCAGCCAAATTAAGACAGCCGGACGGATGTATGGAACCTGTCCGACAGCAGTCTGGAAGTACCAACACAGAAACGCTGCCAACAGGGTATGTTATTTTTTTTTTAAAACATGTGTGACTTACATTTAATAGCAACTTTTTAATAACAACCTGAGAGTTGAATATGTATATGAAATTTTTCCATTGTTCAGTTATTTGAAATCTAAGTTGGAATCTAATTCATACAATTTATTTGCTACAAGCCAAGTATTTCTTTAAAACTAAGAACAATTGCAAGTTTTAGTTACAACATGTGCTATATGACTGGAAGAAGAAAAAACCTTATATTATTTTCCACGACTGTCTATTTGATTCTTGGCTTACTTTTAGAAAGGAGTGACTGTGACTCTGTCTATAATAGCCTCAGTTCTCTAGCTTTCTTTACTGTTGCCTTCCCAGGCTAAGCTTGAAGCAAGTAGCCATCTTTTTTTCTGTTTGTACTCAGTGCTGGGAGCGATCCAGTAAGTCTGCTGAGAAGCACTGTTATAAACTCAGGTTTTCATTGAAAGTGAAAGTCACTCAGTAGTGTCTGATTCTCTGTGACCCCATAGACTATACAGTCCATGAAATTCTCCAGGCCAGGATACTGGTGTGGGTAGCCTTTCCCTTCTCCAGGGGATCCTCCCAACCCAGGAATCGAACCGGGGTCTCCTGCATTGCAGTCAGACTCTTTACCAGCTGAGCTACCAGGGAATAATTCTTTGTCTTTTAATTTTGTACGGTAATAATTCAGCTTCCTATGATTTTCTTTAAAGAATATTCTGTGTATTCCATTTGGTCATCTCTCCCATATTTACTTAATACGTTTCGAGTGCCTCTGAGAATCGAATGCTGCTGATCTGACAGGAGGCGGATTGCAGGTGGTATCGCGAGCTCTGGGGAGCAGCCGTGAATACAGATGGAGACGCGTCATCTCCACCCCGCCGCGGCACGCCCCAGCTCCTGCCAGGCTGGGGACCGAGACCAGTCCATGGCCCTAGAGCTGGGGACCCCCAGTGCGCAAAGTGTGCTGTGTCCAGGACAGTGTGTACAGTCCTACCGACTACAGCGGCGAGAACTGCCGCCTCTCGCCGCTGTGAAAAGGGCGCCTCCAGCGGGCTCGACCTCAGTGCCCTCATCTCCCGTCACAGTTGCTGTGTCCAGACCCTCTCTGACTCTCTGAACTGCATTTTTCTCAGTGCTCCTCACTGGATTATGTGACTTTGCCTGTTGCCTCATCGTGGTTTCAGGCTTTGGCGGGCTCCTGGGAGCTTCTCTTGAGTCTTGCACTCTCCCATCATTTTAGCTGTTAAATTTATACGTCAAGGCCAGACCTTTCTCTGAGCTTATTTTTATCCACTTACTGGAAATCTCCACTGTCTCCTGCAAACATTTTTGGCCATGTAGTATCTTTCCTTCCTCTCAAAAATCTCTCAGCGTTCCTTTGTCTTCTCTTTGACAACTTACCATTAGGCATTTATCTTAGTCTCACGTGTTTGCCCTTATGACATTGATATATAAGAAGCTTTCCATACTGTCAAGAACCTCTGATTTGATGGGAGATAAAAATAAGTAAATAGTCATTGACTATACAATTTAATTAAAGCTAAGATAGACATCCAAGTTTAGGGTGCTGTGGGGGGGAACATGTGTAGAGGGGGTTTAATAGGATACCCTGTGATACTGAGATCAAAGAATACTTTCTGGAAGAGATGACCCTTCAGTGGTTTCTAAAACAGGAGTAGGCGTTAGCAAAGCAATGAAGAAGGCACATGTGCTGAAAGGTTTCATTTTCAGTGGAGCTAACTGCATGTTCAGATCTCTGACACCCAGAAATGAATAAACAACTCAGGAAGTGATATTTTGTTACAGCTTGAGTTGAGCATTTGAGGAAGCAGACTGTGTAGTACAGAAGAGTAAACAGCCCTCTGAAGAGTTCTGTATAGCTGCTAAAGCTTTGGGAGTCCACACCCCCACCCCACCCCCCGCCCCCCGTAGAACCATGAATAAACACCCAAGAATTTTAAGCAGGGGAGTGGCACAGTCATTTTTGCATTTCAAGATTGTTCTAGAAGTGGTATAGATGGATGAGGAGTTAAGACAAAGCAGAACAAAGCAAGCCAGGCTTTTATAAATGAGAAAAGTGGGCACATTCCTGTTTAAAATGATAAGTACATAAACTTAATTCTGTGGGGCCAGGTAAATGCTTCCACGTGCTTGTAGCCACTGTATGTGAACTTTGCATGAAGAGACTTTTGTAGGCATCTACATGAATGAGGAATCTAGATGAGTGATTTTCAAATTGCAAGTTGCAGCCCGTAATAGATTGTGACCAGCATTTGAAAACGTAATAAAGTAAATCAATATTGACCAGAGTGGAAACCTGGAGTGTGTTAAGTAAACATTGTTTCCTGAAAGTTTGTTTTTCTGGTGTGCTTTTGTGTGTGTAAAATCTGTAGGTAAATAGCAGCCTAGGATGAACAGATGCATTCATGTAAGATGTATTCTTACTCTCTGAGCTGTTGCCTGTAAAGGTTAGAAGCTACTAACCCCAGTGAGAAATTAAAATAGACTGCCCCAAGGTGGATGCTAGTCTTCTTGGGGTGATGTTACAGTGGGTTGTGGGAATTAGCTGTGGGAGGTGGAATGCGAGAGTGGGGCCAAGATTGGTTCTTCTGGCTTAGGCAGTACTTGGCTTCTGTAAGCATCTTAGCAGTTTTCAAATCTACATCATCTTCTCTCTTTCCTCAGAAATCTTTTTTAGTTCCTGTAATTTGTCTCTTTGGCAACTTATTTCATTAGTGCCCAGAATTACGAGTGCTCTGAAGGGAGCCTGTTCTAGCCTGAGGATTATGCCCAGTGTGGTCTTACATAAAGCCCTTTGCATTTGCTCTGACTTCTGTGAGGAGTGTTATTCCTCAGATATGAGCGTGTCTCTGCCCAAACGTCACCTTGCTCCAGAGGCCTTTCCTGATTCCCTCAAATCAGGCCGCCCTGTCCCTATCCCCAACCCCGCCTTATTTTTTTCCAACCTTCTGTTAAGAAAATTTACAAACATGCAGAAAAATATAAAGAATTTTACAGTGAACACCCGTATATCTGTCTATCGCTAGGTTCTGTAGTTGATATTTTACTCTCTCTGCTTTATCACGTATCTCTGCACTTCTCCATTTGTCTGATGTTTAAGTCTAATTAAGTAAGTTGTAGTTGTACATTTTGTCCCTCAGAACTTGAGCTTGCATGCCATTCACTAGAGTTCGGTGTTTGTTTACAAGTTTTTAGGTGAAGTTTACATAGAAAGGCTAAGTCTTAAGTGTGTCACTGATGCGTTTCGACAGGTGGGAATAACGCAGACCTTTATCAAGATGAGAGTGCTGTCGTCACCTCAGAGAGTTCTCTCAAGCCCCTTTCGTTCAATCCTGCTCCCACTTTTAGGGAGGCAACGCTGTTCCTCCCTGCAAGTATTTTTCCACAATAGGTTATAGATCAGTTTTCCCTGTGGTGGAACTTCACATAAATGGAATCAGTATAAACTCTTGAGTAGGGTCCTTTTAATCAGCATGATGTTATTTGTATTACTTTTCAACACTTAAATCATTATGTCACATATATTTGTGTATTTATCAGTTTTCTCTCCACTACACCGAAAAGGGAGCTTTATTTTGTCCATTTCTGTATCCCTCGTGCCTAAAACAACACCTGCCATGTAGCAGGTACTCAGTAAACATAAGTGAACTAGTGCTTGATGCAGTGATTTTGAGTGAGTGAGCAATTGGGCAAAGGCCCTGGCTTTGTAAATGCTTTGGAGGAAATTGTTAACAAGGTCAAAACCTACTGAAAATTCAGGTAACATGAGAACTGAAAGGCACCGTTGAATTTAGCCACAAAGAGCTTATTTATTGTTGACCTTTGACAGAATGATTTCTGGGAAGGAGAGCTGTATTCCGATTTCTGTGTGATGGAGTGAATGGAATGGGTGGAAATGTGATAGAAAACTCTTTGAAAGAGTGAGAACTAGTGCATGCAAGTTTGTCCCTATGAACACACAGGGAACGAGGAACGTTTGGTAGAAGCAAGCCAGAAAAGACCCAGTATTGAGGAGTACTTTTTTTATTTTAAAAGATGAGAGTGACCTAAAGGGTGGGCAGCAGAGAGGTTAGCAAGCCGAGCAGCAGCAGAGAGGGGCAGCTATTGACCGTGGTTTGTGAGAGCCCATTCGTTACCCAGTCAGTTACTACATCCTGTCATTTTTACTATAATACATCTAGCAAAATTCTCCCACATTTACTATTACTTTCCCTTTTTTAAATAAGGTTTTTTTCAGCAGTAAGTTTTAGGAATGTATATATATGAGATATGGAAGCCGTATCAGAATAGTAGGGACAGGAGAGTATTATGGTTGAAGATGACATGTAGCACTTATAAATTAGCACTTATCCCCTTGAAATTGAAGAATTCTGTTGGGGAGTCGCATCACTTGGCCTGGTAATTTGCAGCTGTTTGAAAGGGTCTTAGGAATTCCCACTACAGGGACGATCTAGTCTCTGAGCGGTTTGACCCGTCACTGCTGCAGGACGTGCGGGCTCAGCTGTAGCTGGCTGTCACTGAGTCCCTGGCCAGGCCCAGGGCAAGCCCCTTACCCTCGTCCCGCTGTCTCCCCCGCCAGCACTGTCCCTCCTCACTGCTGCCCGACACTAGCTCTGGTCACCCCACATGCACTGGGGCTCATTCTCGGCAGTGGTCCTGCCCCAAAAGGTAAACTCTCACTATGGGAGTGACAGTTCAGCGAGTTGCCTCCCTGTGGACCAGCTGCTGGGGCAGAAGGAGAAGCACCCTGAGATCCTGGTCACTGGGGCGGGTGGTGGAATTGACCAGACTCCTCCCCTGCGGCCAGGAGTTCTTTGTTCCATGAGTGTTGTCAGCAGAGGGCGGGAACATGGCACATCCACAGCCTGGGTGACCTACCTCAGGAAGATGCAGTGGGGCATGACAGGAGTTTTTGCTCTTATTATGTTAGTACCTACATAATAGTCCTGACTTTGTATTTTAGCCCACAAAATCTACAGTATTTACTATCTAGTACTTCACAGAAAAAGGCTGCCTTCGCGTGATCTAATGAATGGAATGCAGAAAATTACAAAGATGATATCCAGAAGGGGGTCTTCATATGATGTGTGTAGCAAACAATTTAGTTTGAGTAAGATAAATTCTCTTTGGAGGAAAACCCTGAAATCTGCAAGTGATGTGGAAAAGTTAAGAACTAGTGGCTAGAATTATAGTTGGAACCTAAGTGCTTACTGAATATTGAATATTAAATTAGAGCTATTTCCAGCTAACTTAGGATCGAATTACAAAACGGCGTCATAGCCCGTTTTATGGATGGTACACTCGGTTGTGTACATTACACTCCTCTTACATTATACTCCTTGCAATGCAGGAGACCAGGGTTTGACCCCTGGGTCAGGAAGATCCCCTGGAGAAGGCAATGGCAACCCATCCAGTATTCTTTCCCAGGGATAGAGAAGCCTAGCAGGCCCTAGTCCCTGGGGTCGGAAAGATTTGGACATGACTGAGCAACTTTCAGTTTCACTTTTCTCCAGTTAAAAAGAAGTCAGATTAAATTGAATCCTCGTGTTTGAGAGGAAAATATTTCCCATTTATTCTACTCTCAGCTGAGAACAAGAATGTTAAACTCAGAAATACGAAGTTTCTGTTTTTAACGTTTAAAGTTTTTTCTTCTGTGCTATGCCAAGAAGAGAGTAGAGAGGAGGGATGAAGGAGCGCAGAGGAGAGCACAAGGGTGGGGGGAGGAAGAGGTGGATGTGTCTGAGATGGAGCAGAGGAAGATAAGTTAGGGTGTGCTTAAACTCAGAGGCGAACCAGAGACAGGAGAGGCGTGACATACACAAAAGCAGACCCTGTGTGCAGATGGAAGAGGGGGTTTGCAGGGCACTGTCTCATGCCATACTTCAGTGCCGTTTCTGCTAAACTCTTAGATGTGCATTTTTTCATTTCCCCAAACAGATGTCACTTCACTGACATTTTCTCCTTTGGGCATGATGCTAGGGTGACAGTTTCTTCAGCCCTTGATTAAATTTCTGTTTTGTGATGATTTGAAATTCCGTGAATTAGTAACTTTAAAAAACTTTGGGTGTTATTCTGTCTTCCTCTGCTAAATGAACTTCCTGAGTTTCCAGTGTGTGCTGTTGTTGGTAAGTCACTTCAGTTATGTCCGAGTCTGTGTGATCCAATGGACTGTAGACCACCAGGCTCCCCTGTCCGTGGAATTCTCCAGGCAAGGATCCTGGAGTGGGTTGCCATGCCCTTCTCCAGGGGATCTTCCCTACCCAGGGATCGAACCCACATCTCTTATGTCTCCTGCATTGACAGGTGGGTCCTTAGCACTAGCGCCCCCTGGGAAGCTGGGAAGTTTCCAGTACTGCTAATGAAAAGGGAATAATTAAGCACTTACAAAGCCCAAAAGAAGCAACTTCATTTTGTGTGTAAATATGATGCTTTAAAACATACCTGTAATTTTTTGGCTTATAAAAAGGAATCATAAAAAAAGAAAAACAGGAATTGTTCTTCAGACTGTCTTTAGCTTGTTCTTTTATTTCTGTATTTTTCTTAAAGGTGGGAACAGAGAAAAGATCCTCATGGTAGAACCTACTACGTGGATCATAACACACGGACGACCACATGGGAGAGGCCGCAGCCTCTGCCTCCAGGGTAAGGCAATGTCTTCTCCGGCTTCAGCTATGTTTCATACATGGAATTTTAAAAGCTCAGTTAATGCAATATAAAGTGGTTCTTTCCTACTGCATGTTATGTTTCCTTGATTTGCTTTTGTGAATAGTAAACGTTCAGTAGGTGAGATTTGTTACCCTGTGTCTCATTAACAGTTAGTCTGAAGGGCTTCCTCAGGAGATTAAGAGATGTCGAACACTGGCATGAGTTTACTGAGAGGAGTTGCAGACTTCTGATCCAGTGTCAGTCCTTGCTATTTTTTTAAGGAATGAGAGTCATATTTAGGGTAGTTTATGTGTGTGTTTCTTCATAGACAGGGATCTAAACTATGCAGTTGTGTGATACTTACGTAAGAGATCCTAGTGTTATTCAAAATTATTATCTAGAAGATCGTTACAAGTAAAATTGTATTATGGCTGAAGTTAATAGAGCATTTTAAATGAAGAGGCATTCCTATTACATACTAAATAAAACTTGTGCTATTAGGCTGGTATTCACTAATAGTCCTTCCAGATGCAACTCAGAGCTTGCCAGTATAAACATATTCAAAGTCCAGAAAATTAAAGGCAACAAGTGTGTTATCTTGTGAAAATGGTTGCTGAAAGGATAACGAAAGCTTATGAATTAAGAATATAGATTGACTGGAGGTGAACTGAACCCTGGAGGGTAGGGGTCCAGGAGGCCAGGGAGTCTTCTGGCTGGTGGAGAGGGTATTCCNCCAAAAAAATAAAGTCTGGCACTGTTTCCACTGTCTCCCCATCTATTTCCCATGAGGTGATGGGACCAAATGCCATGATCTTAGTTTTCTGCATGTTGAGCTTTAAGCCAACTTTTTCACTCTCCTCTTTCACTTTCATCAAGAGGCTTTTTAGTTCTTCACTTTCTGCCATGGGGGTGGTGTCATCTACATATCTGAGGTTATTGATATTTCTCCTGGCAATCTTGATTCCAGCTTGTGCTTCTTCCAGAGGTATACAGTTAGCAGTCAGTAAATGTTTATCAAAGAAAGAGGGAGAGTAGTCACATTGATACTGTTCAATCTATGGCCTCTTTTTTTAGACAGTCCTTAGAAATCATGTATGGGAAGAACAGGAAGGTAATTTAGCTAAATAGATAGCAAGTTACATGTTCATAAATTTTCTGAAGAATATCAGTATTTACATTCTTTTAAACTTATTGTGTCTTGGACTTGATTTTTAAATTATTTAGGTAACATATTACCTAAGTGCTTTCCAGTTTCTTGTATGAAGAGGTTGTTGTTTGCTTTCATTTTTGCCACCGCTCCGTTTACTCTCGGCAGTTGGGAGAGAAGAGTGGATGACCGGGGAAGAGTGTACTACGTGGACCACAACACCAGGACGACCACCTGGCAGCGGCCCACCATGGAGTCCGTGCGGAACTTCGAGCAGTGGCAGTCGCAGCGCAGCCAGCTGCAGGGCGCCATGCAGCAGTTCAACCAGCGCTACCTGTACTCGGTAACTCGGGGCGCCGGCGCCGGATGGCTTTCTTAAATGTTAGAGATTGCGAGATCATTTTTAGTTGATATTTAGTAAATAATTAACATTTCTTATATACAGAAGCACTTTGTTTTTTTTTTAAAATCCTAGTTTACATAGCTATACACTCATGCTTTTGTCCTTATTAAGAGGTAGTCTCATAAATACAATTTACTAATAATATAATATGTCTTGGCTAGTTCCCAATCTTCTACTTTGAGTTATAATCTTTTTGTTTGCTTTAAAAAAAACTGGTTGCCTCCTGACTTTACTTAAGGCCAGTCTTGCCATATTCCAGCTATTCTGTTTCCATCCCTGGTTTGTAGAAATGCTTTCATCTGTTTTGGCCCACTAAATATGTATTCTTGGGATCGGAGATAGTTTTGTCCAAAAAAGTGTAACGCTGTCTGAAAAGTTGATCAATTGGTGATTTACTGTCATAAGCAAACATCCACAAGAGTTTGGGGGATGGGGAGAGGACTTGTCTTTAAATAGATTTGATCTCAAGAAGTAGAAAGTATAAGTCTCAAGTACTGGGCATCTCCAGGTAGTGTTTTGGGGCAGCTTGAAACCCCAAAATGTGGAAAGGAATTAGTAAAGACACACAAAACAGCTCTTCAGAATCCTGCCTCAGGCAGGCTCATTCAGCTCTGCATTTTTGGGAGGTTAAGTAGAAGGTTCTCATTTGAAGGTTGGTCCATTCTCCTGGTTTTCTGACCATCAGAGGGTGAGCCAGCCCAGCCTGCTCAGCATCTTGTGCTATCAGTTCTTGGTTCCTGAGTAGCTTGTGCAGAAATCTGTGGGAATGTTCCTTCCTTTAGCTGTATGTACTAAACAGGTTGTGTGTGTGCATTTGTTGTGGTTGGACTTTGCTGTATATCTGGAAAACCTTGGGGAAATAGGGCAGAATTAGGTAATGGTGTGCGTCAGAAGCGGAGAAGGCAATGGCAGCCTGCTCCAGTGTTCTTGCCTGGAAAATCCCAGAGATGGAGGAGCCTGGTTGCCTTTTGTGGGGTCGCAGAGTCAGACACGACTGACGCGACTTAGCAGCAGCAGTGCATCAGAAGTATGTTCTTCGGCACAAACAGAACATCCTAAGCTTGACATTTAGTTGTCTAAATGATAATTGAGTACAATTCATAGTATCTGTTATGAAGTTATAAAATATTTATCAAGATGTATGTGTTTTATCATTAAGAAATGATTTTTCAGGTAATAATTTTTTATTTGTCTTTTCTTAAAAACTGATGGTAAAGATGTTTCTTTTCTTTTGAATATGTTTCTGAGTTGTCATAATATGTAAGCATTAATATGTTTTTATGTGTGTTTGAATGTATAAAATATATTAATACAAAGGTAGAAGTTTATTTTTAAAAGATAATTCTGGAATTTAATATTATTATGTTAGTAGACATTTGTTTTAAAGAGAGCTGTGGTGATTATACTGTTTTTCAGCAAATAATGTTACCTCATTTAAACATTACAATTTTCTGTATGTTATTTTCTCTCATGTCATTTCACTCTTATGGACTGTTACAGAGATTAACAGTGCTGATGTTGATACATTATTTCTAAATCATTATAGAAAAGCTAATAATTTATCACTTATTTAACTCCTCTTAACTCATCACATTTTTAGGATTTTGTGCCTTGAAATGACTATATTCACATTTCCTTTTCATATTTTTTAGAAAATGACTATTAAATGTGATTCAGCTAAGTGCTTAGTTTATGCTTTTATATTAAAAACCTGTTTTTTTTTAACTTCTCCTCCCAATCCTTTTCTCCAATCAGGCTTCAATGTTAGCTGCAGAAAATGACCCATACGGGCCTTTGCCACCAGGCTGGGGTAAGCTAATGTGTTGTTGATAAAAATATTGAAATGTATATATAGCAAATAGTTATTAAATGCCATGCTCACTCTGTTTTTTAGAAAAAAGAGTGGATTCAACAGACAGAGTTTACTTCGTGAATCATAACACAAAAACAACTCAGTGGGAAGATCCCAGAACTCAAGGGTAAGTATATACTACAGCCTTACTTAAGTGATCTTGCATGTCGGAAGACGGAATCAAGTAAACCTCAGTTCAGGCGTTTTTAGCATCTCAGTAATGTTCACCTTGTGTGACTTTAACTTTATCTTTTAGTTTGCAGAATGAAGAACCCCTGCCAGAAGGTTGGGAAATTAGGTATACCCGGGAAGGTGTGAGGTACTTTGTTGATCATAATACAAGAACAACAACATTCAAAGATCCTCGCAATGGGAAGTCATCTGTGTAAGTGAAGTTCTAAGATGCTGTTTAATGAGAATGTAAAGTTTGACTTCTAATTTAGCCTCAAGCAAATTTTACATTATGTATCAAGAAAATCTACACAAGTAATAATCTAGTATATGTGTTTTGCTCTACTGTATTACAGAGTGGGTTTGTGGCATATACTTCCTTAAGAACAATAGTAGGTATTTATCTAGGGATTATTGATGCGCCAAAGATTCTTCTAAGCACTTTATATAAATTAGCTTTTATCTTCCAACAGTTGCTTGAGGTTGATACTCTTACTTTCCAAGTGTGGAAATGGAGGCCTAGGGAGCATGTTGACTTATGCAAAGTCGTACAGCAAGTGATGGAGGTGGTTTCAGACCAAGGCAGTCTGTCCACTGAGTCTGCGCTCCTAACAGTCACATTCTGCCTCTGCAGGCTCAGAGACAGACGCTCAACACGGCTTTCCCGGTAAACATAGCTCAATGAAGTGTTTGAAAGGTCTCTCCTTCATCCTTACTCTTAGATGTGATGTCTTTATATTACTAAGACAACGGAAGCAGCCATAAAAGTTTTTCAGAAATTCCTACAGTTACATCTCTTTACCAGTCAGCATCTGTCTTCCCTTTTCATCCTGAAGGTAAATTGTCATTATTCTCTCAAAGGCCAATCCCTCTGCTGGTGCCCGAGGTCTTTCCCTCTTCTGATTAGCTACTCCAGCAGTGATTTTCATACCATCCATCTTTCTCTGCAGTATCATTCCCATCAGCTGTTACTTCTCTGAGATTAGAAGTGAACAAGTGGAAACCATGACTCATCACCTCATAAATCCATTTAATGGAGAATTCATTATTATTGCTTCCCTTTGCAAGAAAACTACCTGAAAGACGTGTCTGTGTAATTGCTGTTTCTAGTTTGTCTCTCAAACCAACAACAAGGAAGTTTCACTGACCCTAACTAACCTTACTAAGGGGACCAGTGCCCTCCACTAGGTTAGTCCCTAGGTTGGTTTACAGCTCTGTCTAATTTGACACAGTCAGGAGTATTTGAAGGAAGTTTCTCCCTCCTGACAGAAATAGTACCGGGACGCTGGCTCCTGATTTCCTTCTGCCTGTCTGGTCTGTCTTCTTCCTCCTTTTTGTGGGTGACGGGGGGCCCTGCTCTCCTGTCAGCCTGTTAACATTGATGTACCTGAAGTGCCCCCTCAGATCTCTCTTCTCTGCTGTCTGTACTCATTCTCTTGGTGAATCTTATCCAGCTCACAGATTTTTCTCTAGCATTTCACTTGTAATTTTGCTGCTACTTACTTGATAGCTATTCTTAACTTCTTCCTGGTAACTACCATCAGTCAGACTTATTCTACCTGGGATATTTCCCATCTCAGTTGAAGGGACCTCCACTCTTAGGTGTGTTTGAGCCAAAAATCTTGTAATTGTCCTTGACTACTCTCTCTCTCATGTCACATACAGTCCATCATGAGTTCCAGTTACCTCAGCTTCAGAATGTATTCAGGACCAGCTGTGTCTCGCCATATCCACTGCCGTCACTTTGGTCCAAGCTACCGTGGTCTCTCACCTGGAGTGTTTCTCTGAGTACCACTCTGCTTTCTACCTACACAACACTGTCCCTCATACAAGACTTTTTACTTTATTTTTTCTTTTAAGTAAAAAGTTACTCCACAAAACCTTTCCGTGGTTTCCGCAGAGTACTTGACCATGACCTCTAAGCCCTTGGAGCATCTGACCCCTGTTAACTTGTCAGCCTCACGTCTGACGTTTCTCCTCATTCACTCTGCCTCAGCTTCCCTAGCAAGTTAGCTGTACCTCAGACAGCTGAGCCTTCCTCATCTGGGCTCTGGTTTCCTCTGGTTGGCATGCGCTTTCACCCAGTAGTACCTGTATGTTTCCTGCTTATTGTTTTGTCTGTGAATCCTACTCTGCTTATTCTGTTCACAGTTGAAAAGTTCTTCTCCCCATTTCACTCCTTGTCCTTTTTTCATCTTTTTTCCCCTTTTCTAGGAGCGGGAATGGTGAAACATTTATGCTCTTCTAACACTAAATGTATAGTTTACTTATTCATTGTTTCTTGTCTGTTCTCTTCACTAGTACATAGACTACACAAAAAGAGGTATTTTTTTTTTCAGTTTGTTTTATTAGCCAGTAATACTCTCACTATCTAGAATAGTGCCAGGATACATACTGTGCATTTTGTAAATATTTGTTGAATGAATTCAGTTGAACCTGACAACAGAAGAGAACATTTTTTATCCATTGCAGAATGTTCCCTGGGAATGTAAAAGTTCTTTATGCCTGACTCGTAGGCTGTCGCTAGTGGGCAAAAGACCCAGGGCTCTCAGTGTGAATAGCACTTCCCCTAAATGCTGGCCACCCTGCTTTTTCCCTTACTGACCTGCTGAGCTGGGTGACCTGGACATCGCTTCCTAGGAGCTCAGTTTTGCTTTGTTTACTCTCTTCAGCAGTATTTGTTTTGATTTCAAATTAACTTTAACATGTAAAAGGAATATCCTTTCCTGTCTCTTCTACCTAGAGCCTCTTGTCCTCCCCTCCTTGGATTTAAGGGTTAGCAAGAAGTTTTTTTTTAAATAGTCATAGACTTTCATATTTAAATAACTTTTTAATATAACATTTAATATTTGCACTCTAATACATGGTTAAAATCTAAAATGTGGTGGAAAGTATAACCCCAGAAAAAGTGTAGAAAAAGCAATATATATCACCTGCGACAAGTCCTGGTGCCAGTCCTGGTGTCATAACACAATTCAGCTTTATATATTTTTTTTATATTATAGGTATTATGCCTATCTCCCCCCTCCCGATCTATATTCCTGCAAATTCTAGTGTCAGTTTATGTTTTCTAATAAAAATGTAAATCTCATTATGTTAGTGAGAAATAAGCCTTTGAAACATATTTTTTTTTCACCTGCAACACTCTATTAGAAGTGCTGGGTTATTTGAAAACTGTCAGTTCTTTTTAATATCTTTTAAATTTTTAAAAAATTTCATTTTATGTTGGAGTATATTTATCTATCTACAATATTGTGTTAGTTTCAGGTATACAGCAGGGTGATTTAGTTATACATATCCACTCCAATATTCTTGCCTGGGAAATCCCATGGACAGAGAAGCCTGGCGGGCTACAGTCCATGGGGCTGCAGAGTCGGACACAGCTGAGCACACATGCATGCATCAGGTCAGGTCAGTCGCTCAAAAGTTGTGTCTGACCCTTTGCGACCCCATGGACTGCAGCATGCCAGGCCTCCCTGTCTTATCACCAACTCCTGGAGTTTACTCAAACTCATGTCCATTGAATTGGTGATGCCATCCGACCATCTCATCTTCTGTCGTCCCCTTCTCCCGCCTTCAATCTTTCCCAGCNGTACTCCTTTTCCTATTTGGAACCAGTCTGTTGTTCCATGTCCAGTTCTGACTGTTGCTTCCTGACCTGCATGCATACATATATCTGTTCTTTTTCAGGTTCTTTTCCCATATAGGCTATTACAGAGTATTGAGTAAAGTTCCCTGTGCTGTATATATGGTAGGTCTTTGTTGCCTATTTTAGTTTATCATTTTTTAATTTTAATTAAAATTTTTTTTTCATTTTTTGCCAGGCAAAAGTATCTTTGCCTTTTCCACACCCCTCCCCCACAAAGAAAGATAACTTTAATGTGCTAAAGGGATTCTTTTCATCTCTAGCTAAATTTTAGATGCTTACATAAGTTCTCTTCAAAGAGAGATTGAAGTATTGATAATTAGGCTTATTTGGTATGTTGTACTACATGGGAAGCACTGTCAAATGTAATGATAAAACTTCTTAGAGTCTACAGCTAAATGTTAATTAATGTAAATGTTCTAGAAATTATATGACATTCCTCAAATTGGGTATATCCTGGAATAGTGTTGTATCATAATTTTAGTTATTATCTTAAGATGTTATATGTTGCATAAATAGCCAGATTTCTTTGTCAGTTGCATTGCAGTTGGTTCCTTAATCATACTATTTCAGTTCTCTGACGTTTATATTACTCTGATGCTTTTACAAACATGAAGATCTTCCAGAGGATTCATAGAGAGGACTTTTTTACAAATATAGGTTTCTAATAACTTTTAAATCATACCACTTAACTGAGTAAGAAATTACAGAATTCTAATGGAAAACCAGATGGCCTCAAAAACTGCTAACAAGAGATCAAGACCAACAAGAATAATTACATGGGACTGAAAGAACAATATGATTTATGTTTTATGGTTTTTTTTTTGTCTGAAATACTACTGGCTTTTAATATTTGTTTTCCAGATATGAGGAAACTTTTCCCATTATGCTAACTGTAACTATGTATAATATACATATATATTTAAATTCTATCACATATTTTCACTGCTTTGTACATTTTGTATTTATTTGGAGTTACATATTGAATTTTGTTCCTGCTTCTTCACTCTGTTATGTGGTAATTATCTCCTCTTAAAAATATTTTTTACTATTACCCTTTAATTTGTTATGCTAATAACAAATCTGGTTTTTGTTTTTCTATGAATGCTTTCATTTTTCCCAAAAGATGTTTTTGCTTATATACAGTTCTTTTGTTTGTTATTATATGTTTTTAGCACATTAACTAGCTTCTTTGTTTATTGTATCCTTTAAGCACATTAACTAACTTCTTTGCAAAATACCCGCCCGTGCACATCATCTCTGTCTTTGCGTGTGTGTATCGTGTGTCCTTATTGTTCCCTGTTGGCCCCCTGAATATTACCTCTGCTTCTCTCCCAGCAGGTGTCACAGAGTAGCTTGCTGTCATTTGTAGGACACTAGTACACTCCAGTTTCATACTGAATAATGAACATCCAGCTTTATTATTTATTAATATATGGTTTGTTTTTGTTTTTCTTTAGAACTAAAGGTGGTCCGCAGATTGCCTATGAACGCAGCTTCAGGTGGAAACTTGCTCACTTCCGTTACTTGTGCCAGGTACTGCAGTGGTAAATAAACCTCCTGTTCGTAATCATTTAGTCTTCTTGTTACAGGGCACTCGTACTGTAACTAACATGATACCACGATATTATTTTTGTTTTCAGTCTAATGCTCTACCCAGTCACGTAAAGATCAATGTGTCCCGGCAGACATTGTTCGAAGATTCCTTCCAACAGGTAAGAAAGAGGTACCAGAATAAAATTGTTCAGTCAGCCCTCTGTATCCACAGATATAGTAGCATCCATGGATTCAGCCAACTGTGGATAGAAAATATTCTGCGGTGGGATGGAGGGAGATTTACAGAAAGTTTCAAAAGGCGAAATTTGAATTTGCTGCAGCCAGTAGATTGTTTTATTGTGCCTTGCTTTATTTTACTTTGCAGATAGTGTGGTTTTTACAGATGAAGGTTTGTGGCAGTCTTCTGTTGGGCAGGTCTCACAGCACCGTTTTTCCAGCAGCACGTGCTCACTTGGGAGTGTCCCTGTGTCACATTTTCGTCATTCTTGACGTGCTCCAAACTTTTCATTATTATTAATTTGTTAAGGCGATCTCTGAGCCGTTACGTTTGATTTTCTGTTCTAAAAAGATTCAACTGCTGACGTCATGGTTATCATTTTTTTTTTTAACAATAGAGTATTTTTTAAATTAAAGTCTGTACATTGTCTTTTTAGACATAATGCTATTGCCCCCTTAATAGACTATAGTACAATGTTTTTTTTTTTCTTTTTCCTCAAATTTTTTTTTTCTCCATTTATTTTTATTAGTTGGAGGCTAATTACTTTACAACATTGCAGTGGTTTTTGTCATACATTGAAATGAATTAGCCATGGATTTACATGTATTCCCCATCCCAGTCCCCCCTCCCACCTCCCTCTCCACCCNACTCTATCTCCCTTACCAGAATGAAACAGATCACAGCTGTTTTGTCTACTGCTGCTTTGCACAGTACCTAGAAACAGTGCTTTGCACATAAGCAGGTATTAATAAACATTTGGTGGCATGAACAAATGAATGTAATACCTTTGCTGAATTATCTGTACAATCCAAAATATTGTCAGTTCTTTTTTTCTGACGAGGTTGAGAATTTTTCTTCTCAGTCCTCTCCCAAGGTATTACAGTGATGAATTAAAATTCTCTGAGTTCAGGTGCATAGCGACTTGTATGTATAGAAGCCAAAATGGAATAACAGTTCTTAAGTCAGTGATGTTCAAATCCTAGCCTCAGTTTAGTCACTTGTTGCATTTTGGACAAGTTACTTAATGTAGCTATTATCATCAAAACCTTTTCTGTTTGATTTAATAAGTTTTTATCTTGTTCCAAGCTCTGTGTAAACTTTGTTTTAATACATACACATCTGAATTCATGGTAGATTTTACTTGGCTTTGTCCTCTGGCTTGGGGAGAATCATGCTCTGTGAGCCTCTGACTCTCTGTAAAGTGGAGGCCTGCTGGCAAGCTGTCACCTCACCCAGACCAATCTTGGCTTTGGGAAGTAATTCCCTTTTATCTGGAAGTAAAGCTTATTTACTGGTAACCTTAGTGTGAGCCTTTAAGGCTTATAAAAAATCTAGTATAGATATAGTTTTAAGATAAACCTTTTTATGCTAAAATTCATCATCTTATAAATAATTCTTCACGATAGCTCAGTTCCTTTCCTACTGAGAAATGGAATGTGTGGTATAAGCAATAAATTCTACTTTTCATTAAGTGTTGCTTGTCAAAAAAATTTTCAGGTCACCTTTTATAAGATTTTGGTAAAATGTGGAGAGTGACAGAGATGGGAATATGTTCTAACCTGAAAAACATTGTTTCAAGCTGTTCCTCTCTTGCTACTAACCGAAAGTAGAACTACCATTTACTACCAGAAGAGGGGAAAGAGATTTATGAAAGTTAATCAGAGAAAGCTTAGTAGAGTAAGATGCATCTTTGCTAGTTTGTGGAATAAACTAGTTTGATCTCTTTGAATTAAAAGCATTGTTGTATAAGATAACGAAATGTGAAATTTTGAAAACACAGATGAAATTTAAATAAAACTGTTTTGGAGGAGACTTGTATTACATATGATGTTTAAGCATCCATGTTTTTGTTTTTAATTAGATTATGGCATTAAAACCCTATGACTTGAGGAGGCGATTATATGTAATATTTAGAGGAGAAGAAGGACTTGATTATGGTGGCCTAGCAAGGTAAAATAAAAGATATATCTACTTTGAAATAAGTGCATCTCCACTGTAGATATATTCTGAAAAGGTACATTTTTTCAATAGCAATCTGAAATTATTTTTAAAAACAATTGAAATATTCATGTAAACCTGTCAGTAGCCATTATTATTATTATGTTGCTTATCCTGTACATTTTATCTGCATATTCAGTTGACCCTTGAAAACATGGAGGTTAGGGGTGCTGAACCCTGTGTTGTCAAAAATCTGCATACTGCTACTTCTGTTTCAAAAACAAAAGAGTGTGGGATTAATCAATGTAAGCTACTATACATAAAATAGATAAGCTACAAGGATTTACTGTATACTACAGAATTATATTCAATATCATGTACAAACCTATAATGGAATATAATCTGAAAAAATTTAACTGAAACACTTTACTATATGCCTTAAAACTAACACAATATTGTAAATCAACTTTACTTCCATTAAAAACAACACAAAACAAAGGATTTGATAAATGATTTACCAAAGGACAGGAAGCTAAAGCAGTTTGGATAAAATCTGGATTCAAATCCCTAGTTCTTTCAGTTCCACACACTGTGATCTCTGACTTTTGCTGTACTTAATTGATTTTAAGATATTTGTAAAATGAAAATACAGGTACTATATTGAAAAAAAACTCGTGTATAAGGGGACTTGCAGAGTTCAAAAGCATGTTGTTCAAGGGTCAGCTGTATATAAATTTGAATGTATGTGTGATATCATACATATTTGCTGATTTTTTAAAAACAGAATTGATCATACAATTTGCAAAATACAGCAGCTTGATTTTGTTATTTTGTATATCATGTATATCTTTCCATATCTCATACAGACCTTATACTCATGGTTGCATAATCTTCCATTGTTTGAACATAGTATAGTTGATGAATCAGCATAAATAAGGTTGTTTCTTATTTTTTGCTATTATAACAATTTGTGTTGGTTTGATGTTTGTGTTTTTAATCCAGTCTGAGTCCTTTTGACTAAATAGTTTTCCACATTTACTAAATAGTTTTTTAACAGATACTTATGAAGCAATAAGAACAGCAGATCCTTTTTATTTAATTTTTTCCCCTCAATTGCTTTGCCCAGACCCAATTTGATAGCAGTTTGTTTTTTAGTCAAAGCATTTTCGTTAAAGAATTAAATTTGCTTTTCTTAGAAACAACTCTCTTTTTGAACTCATACTTCATGGATATTCAGAATTACATAATCACAATTTTAGTACAGCTGACTTAAAAAGAGGTAGAAAACTAGAACTGGGGGAGTTACCAGAACTGGTTGTGTTAATGTATTTTCTCATCTAAAACATTTTAAGTTTTTTCAGAAGAGAAAACTGCCTGTCACTGTGGATATTCATATCACATCTATTGTGATTTGTCTCAATTTCAAAAATGTTCAGACATTAAAAAGGCACATCTTAGAAATGAATATGGTATTATTTTTACAATGTCTGACTTTATAATATTCACATTCTTAACCATTTTTTACCTCAACTGTTTGCATTTTGTTTTATATTTTGATGGTTTTAATGCATATAATGTACATAATTAGTTACTGCACACCATGTTTTTCTTATTCCCAAATTCTTCATTTTGATTCATGTATTGGTTTTGGTTTAATCAGTTAACAAGGGTGATAAATCCCTCTAGTTTTACATGTTTGAGAGTATGTTTTCTGCTGCTTTTGTATTTAAACAAGAACTTCACTAGATACAGATTTCTCACCAACACCTGTTTCTCCAGCGCCCGGTCGCCATTGCTTCGCTGCCGTCTAATGGGGTGTGAACGCTATCAAGTAGCAGGCCAGCCCTTTAGGCAGCTTTTCCCTCTGGGTGCCCACACAGGTCTTTTCTTTGAAGTTCATTAATTTCATTGTCGATTGTTTTATATCTTCTTTTGGAGCTTATTAAGATCTTCCTTAATTTAAGGGAAATTTTCTTCTATTAGGTCTTTGAATATTTTTTCTGTTCCATTTGTTCCATTTTTCTTCAGGAACATCAGTCATGGGTATGTGGACTCTCCTCTCTCAGTCTTACGTGTCTGTCATCTTTTCTCAGGTCACTTTCATCTTTGTGCTTTTTCATTCTGTTCTGATTTTTCTCAGACCTGTCCTCGCGTCTCTGTTTGCAGTACTGCCCCATGTTTTGCTGCTTTTAATGTGACTTTTCATCGTTGGTGGTTTTACTGTTTTCCTCTCTAGGCTCTGCTAGCTCATTCCTTGTCTATTAATTATTTTTAAACCTCTTGTAACTCTTTAATTTATTTGCGAGTATATGGAAGAATATGTTAAAGGGAACTTTCTACCTCTTGTTACTTAGAATTTTTTCTTCTGTTTTCCTACTGTTAGAGTATAGGTTAGATGCCACATTGTAGTCATTCTTTTTTTCAATGTACCCAGTTTTCTCTGGGCTGTTTGCTGAAAGTCATCTGCAACATCTGGGAGTTTTATTTCTACTTTTTGTGTCTAAACACATTCTCACTGCTACTGCTAAGTCACTTCAGTCGTGTCCGACTCTGTGTGACCCCATAGACAGCAGCCCACTAGATCTGTTCAATTCTCTTCCTGGGGACATGTGTTACTTCATCCTTATCATAGTGGGAAGTCAACTTGGTTCAGCTACTGTTTTGGGACTGAATTTCGTTTTATAAATTGATTTTAACATTTCTCAGTTGATTTAGACTCCCTTCTCTACCCTTCATTAAGTTTCCAAGATTATATTTTTAAAGTTTCAGAAAAGCATTTCTGAACAGGCTGCCAGGCCAGATCTAGCTTGCATAGTGATGACCCCCATTGTGATTTTAAATTTTTTTGTATTATTTGACAACATTAAAGAAATCACTAGATTACTCTTATGAATCAAGATTTCTGGCCTTTCTTTAAAAACAATTGCCACACCTTCTCACACGGCATCAGTGGACTGAGTCAGAGCAGCTGCTTTCCCTGTTGGCTGTCATACATTCTGTCTCAGTCCCTGGCCGCCATAGCCAAGTTGTCTAAGGGCTATGGTTACATTCCTAGAAGTCATTCTTCCTAGACCGGTGGTGACTTTTACCCAGGATACAGTGAGGAATGGGGGTTTGTGATTGAGTAGAAGACTGTGAGCCCGTGCAGAGAAGGAAGCCCGCTGTACTCACTGACATCTGTAGGTGTTTGAGTTTTGAACCCTGTATTAGAAAAAATTGCTATGGAAGACAGTCTTTGCATATTGAGTTTATTTCATAATATAAATTATTAATCTTTTACCTAGTCAGGTTTTCTGTATTGGACTTTTTAAAATGAGACAAATTACATAGTAATAAGTTAGATAATGCCTATCCCATTTAAAGATTTTGCCTTTTAAAATTGTAGTTACATTTTTAATCCATTGCCCAAAAAAAAAAAACCAGTTAAAACTGTTCCATAGTGGCAATGCTGTGTTATCTCAGTATCACCAGCAAATATTCACTAGAGCCTATTGTTCAGGGCTTCCCTGGTGGCTCAGTGATAAAGAATCCACCTGCCCATGCAGGGGACATGGTTTCGATTCCTGGTCTGGGAAGATCCCACGTGCTGCAAGACAGCTCGCCCATGTGCCACAGCTATTGAGCCTGTGCTCTAGAGCCCGGAGCACAGCTCCTGCTGCCCGCGTGCCCTAGAACCCTGCTCTGCATTAAGAGCAGCTACTCCAGTGAGAAGCTGGGGCACCACAATCAAGAGTAGCCCAGTCACCACAGTTGGAGAAGGCCTGCACATGGCAATGAAGACCTAGCACAGCCATAAATAAATAAAATAAATCTTCCTTATAAATCTAGTGTATATAGGTTGTCGAGTGCCTGTAAGAGTTAAAGGTACAAAAAATAGAGACCTGGCTTTTGTTTTTGAGTTGCTTACAGTCTGGTGGATATAGTGGTCATGTGGGCCAGTCAAGTACAGAAAAATGAATAATATTGTGGGATTGTTACCACAGAGTATTAAGTGACTGAGACACTGAAATACACTGAAGAATGCTTCCAATAATTGCGGAAGTAGATGTCAGCTGAACTTAAAAGTGAGATCCCCACAGGCTGAGTTGAAGTTCAGGATTCATACACAAAAATACGGCATAGGAAGAAGCACACAATATGTGAGAAACACCTAGTTTATAGCTTGGCAGTGCAGGAGCTGGCAGGTGATTTAGAATGGACAGCTTAGCAATGGGCAGTAGAGTTGTTAAAGGCTGTTGAGTGGAGGTGTGATGTTATGTATGAATTTATTTAAGGCCTGTTTTTAAATTTATACATGGTTGCTAAAAATAATATTGACTTATCTTCTTTTAGAGAATGGTTTTTCTTGCTTTCACATGAAGTTTTGAACCCCATGTATTGCTTATTTGAGTATGCTGGCAAGAACAACTACTGTCTGCAGATAAATCCAGCATCAACTATTAATCCAGACCATCTTTCATACTTTTGTTTCATTGGTCGCTTTATTGCTATGGTGAGTCTTGACTTTCCATTACCTATTTATTTATTTATTTGAATTTTACTTATTCCAAAAGTATTTTAGAAAAGATTTTTTTTTTAAAGTAATACATATCATCCTTGGTTATATGTAGTCACAAATTTGGTTACCAAGGAAGTTTGCCTAGAGAGTATCAAAATAAGTTGCTATGTGAAATCAAGATTGTGAATATAAGGATTATTGATACAGCCAGTTGATCTTTAGAAGTCCTTTCATTTAAGCCTAATTGTAGTATGACCACTTTTCAATAAAAGGAAAATCTGAGTTGTATAATCATTGAACTTGATTGATATTTTTTGAATTTTCGTAGCTTTGTAGAAGGTCTTGTGGGACTATAAACTTCTTGAGAAGTGTTTGTGTTTATGTATTTATTTGCACTTTATTATCTATCCATTCATTTAGCAAATATACATTGCCTGCTATGGCATCATAGCATGAATGGGATGAAACCATGATAAGACACAGTCCTTGTTCTTAGGGATATAAATATTGTTAGAGGGAGACAAATAATAAATGCATACTGAGGGAAAGGAAGTGTTGCTCTGTTATTTAACATGAGTAGAGGAGGCCTCTCTGATGGGTAACACTTGAACAGAAATAAGAAAGCAAGGGATTGAATCATGCAGATATTTTGGAGAACAACTTTCAAGGCACAGGGAACAACTCAAAAAAAAAAGATCTTGGGTGGAAGTACATTTTTGAATGAAAATGTCATAGCTGGTGCATAGAGGGAATGTGGTAGGAGATGAAACATAGGCAGTTTGTGGGATCATTCAGAAATTCAGCTAAGGGCTTTGAGCCAGGAGTGGTGTGGTCTAAGGAACATAGTATGACCATGGAATTGATTAAGCTCAGTTTTCTGCCTTGTAGAAAGAGACTGTAATTGAGGGCAAAGGAAAGCAAGAGGAAAAGCAGGAAGACCACTCGAAATAGCTCAGCTGAGACATGGTACTGGAGTCCTCAAGCTCGACCTTGAGAGCTGTAGCTGTGGACGTGGTGAGGCGTGCTGTGGGTTCTGGATGTATCTGCACGTGGAGGCAATCAGGTCTTCTGTCCATTTAGATGCAAGATGTGCGAGTCAGGTGTTGCACCAAACTGTAAGGTCTGTGTGTCTGGTTGCAGCTGCCATTTCCCAGGATGGCAGGGTTGTCGCAAAGAGGAAATTTGGGAAGGGACTCCAGAATTGGGATTTGTTTTAAGATTCCTGCCGATTTTCAAGTGGAGATGTAGAATAGATAGTTGGATGCACAAGTCTGGCAGTGAGGGGCTGTCTTGGTAAGACGATGTAACTATTTGAAGGATCAGTGTGGACAGGGAAGCCATCTAAGGACACTTACGAGTTGGGGAGATGAGAAGGAACCGGCAAAAGAGCCTGGGCATAGGAGGAGATGGGAGAGTCAAATGCAAATGGTTTCCAGACCAAGGAAGCAGGAAGTGTGTATCAAGAAACAAGAAGTGATCAGCTGTGTCGAATGCTGCTGGCTGATCAAGATGAGGTCCAAGAAGTAACTGTTGGAATTGGCCAGGTGAATGATATTCATGTGCAGTGGAGAGGAAAGGTGGATGGGAGGAACCTCAAGAGAGAATGGAAGGAGAAATGGGGACAGTAAATATAAACTAACCTCTTAAATAGGAAAAGGAGTACGTCAAGCCTGTATATTGTCACCCTGCTTATTTAACTTATATGCAGAGTACATCATGAGAAACTCTGGGCTGGGAGAAGCACAAGCTGGAATCAAGATTGCCAGGAGAAATATCAATAACCTCAGCTATGCAGATGACANTGATGTTGAAGCTGAAACTCCCAATACTTTGGCCACCTGATGTGAAGAACTGACTCATTGGAAAAGACCCTGATGCTGAGAAAGATTGAGGGCAGGAGGAAAAGGGGACGACAGAAGATAAGATGGTTGGATAGCATCACTGACTCAATAGACATGAGTTTGGGTAAACTCCGGCAATTGGTGATAGACAGGGAGGCCTGGCGTGCTGTGGTTCATGGGGTCGCAAAGAGTCGGACACGACTGAGCGACTGAACTGATGAATCTCTTAAAAGGGCCTCCCTGGTGGCTCAGCTGGTAAAGAAGCCGCCTGCAAGGTGGGAGACCTGGGTTCGATCCCTGGGTTGGGAAGATCCCCTGGAGGAAGGCAGTGGCACCCCACTCCAGGATTCTTGCCTGGGGAATCTTGTGGACAGAGGAGCCTGGTGGGCTATAGTCCATGAGGTCACAAAGAGTCGGACACAACTGAGCAACTGAGCCCACACACACAGAATCTCTTAAAGAAACTTGCTGTGAAGGATTAATAGGAGATCGGGTGGTGCCATGAAATATGTGTGGAACCAGGAATGGGAGGAGAATAGAACATTTATATGCTGCCGATGATCAGCAAGAGAAGAAGGGGTTTGGTGAGGTCAGAGAGAAGGGGTATGGGAGCCGTGGCCTTGAATAGGAGAGCAAGGGGGAAGTGTGTCCAGCGCAGAGAGAAGTCATGGCTTCCCCACAGCAGGAGTACACAGATTCAGATGCTGTTAGGTTTGTGCACATGTCATTACGGTTTCAGACAGTAAATTTTAATTCATTATAACTAGACTTAAACACATCTTTATTAATCAGAATAGAAACCATTACAGTCAACACATTTTTGCCAATGAGAAATAAGTCTGCTTATTCTTGTAGCATAAAAATCCATGCTTTGGAATTCCATGAGCTCTTGGAAAGCATCTTCTGCTCCTGCTGGTTGTGGAAGCATTCTCTCTGCAAAAAACTGTAGAGATGATTGAAGAAGTGGTGGTAGGTTGGTGAGAGGTCAGGTGAATATGGTGGATGAGGCAAAACTCCGTGGCCCAATTTGTTCAACTTTTGAAGCATTGGCTGTGCGACGTGCAGTCAGATGTCATCAGACGTTGTCATGGGGAATTGAGCCCTTTTCTGTTGACCAATGTTGGCTATAGGCGTTTCAGTTTTCAGTGCATCTCCTCGATTTGTTGAGCAGACATCTCAGCTGTAATGGTTTTGCAGGGATTCCGAAAGCCGTAGTACATCGGGCTGGCAGCAGACCACCAAACAGTGACCAGTGCCTCTTTCCGGTGCAAGTTTGGCTGCGGGAAGTGCTTCGGAGGTTCTTTGCAGTCCAGCCACCGAGCCGGTTGTCACCAGTTGTCACATAAAGTCCGCTTTTCCTCACACATCGCCCTCTGGTTGAGAAATGGCTCACTGTTATCGCACAGAGCAAGAGAAGACACTTCAAACTGAAGACTTTTTACATTTTCAGTCAGCTTATGAGACACCCACTTACTGAGCTTTTTCACCTTTCTCATTTGCTTCAAATGCCAAACGACTGTAGAATGATCAGCTTTGAGTTCTTCGGCAGCTTCTCATGTAGTAAGAGGATGGTCTTTGATGATCTTCTCAGCTGGTCATTGTCAGCTTGTGACGGCCAGCCACTACATTTCTCAACTTCAAGGCTGTCGTCTCCTTTGTAAAACTTCTTGAACAACCACTGCACTGTGCATTTGTCAGCAGTTCCTGGGCCAAAGTGCATGGTTGCTGTGAGTTGTCTGTGCTGCTTTACAACCCATTTTGTACTCGAATTAAAAAAAAAAATCAGTCACTTTGCTTTTTGTCTAGCATGACGTCTACAGTCTAAAACAAGTATACAATAAACACCGAGTAATAGTCATTAGCAAAAAAGAAAACTATAAAGTGAGAAATGTGGATTAAAAGGATGTATAATACAGCTACATTTACTTAGAATGTATTCCGACGTCAAATGGCAAATTTCAAAATGCAAAAACCACAGTTAGTTTTGCACAAACCTAATACTAGTGAGCAGGTGTGGGGGAACCAACAGAAGTTCTCTCGTGGTGGCTCTGCTTCCTCGGTGAGATGGAGAGTGTGCTCGTTAGCACAATGAGAAGACAAGGTTTGAAGGTACACAGGAGAGGTGGCCAGGTGGTTAAAGTGATTGTGCTCTGAAGGTCCAAGGGAGTAATTTTAATCACTGATGATGGAATCTAAACCGAGTAAGGGGAGGACTTCCCTAGTGGTTGAGGAGTTAAGACTCTGAGCTTTTCCAGTGCAGAAGGTATAGGTGCCATCCCTGATTGGGGAACTAAGATCCCACATGCCATGTGGTGAAGAAATGGCTCACTGTTATCGCACAGAGCAAGAGAAGACACTTCAAACTGAAGACTTTTTACATTTTCAGTCAGCTTATGAGACACCCACTTACTGAGCTTTTTCACCTTTCTCATTTGCTTCAAATGCCAAACGACTGTAGAATGATCAGCTTTGAGTTCTTCGGCAGCTTCTCATGTAGTAAGAGGATGGTCTTTGATGATCTTCTCAGCTGGTCATTGTCAGCTTGTGACGGCCAGCCACTACATTTCTCAACTTCAAGGCTGTCGTCTCCTTTGTAAAACTTCTTGAACAACCACTGCACTGTGCATTTGTCAGCAGTTCCTGGGCCAAAGTGCATGGTTGCTATGAGTTGTCTGTGCTGCTTTACAACCCATTTTGTACTCGAATTAAAAAAAAAAATCAGTCACTTTGCTTTTTGTCTAGCATGACGTCTACAGTCTAAAACAAGTATACAATAAACACCGAGTAATAGTCATTAGCAAAAAAGAAAACTATAAAGTGAGAAATGTGGATTAAAAGGATGTATAATACAGCTACATTTACTTAGAATGTATTCCGACGTCAAATGGCAAATTTCAAAATGCAAAAACCACAGTTAGTTTTGCACAAACCTAATACTAGTGAGCAGGTGTGGGGGAACCAACAGAAGTTCTCTCGTGGTGGCTCTGCTTCCTCGGTGAGATGGAGAGTGTGCTCGTTAGCACAATGAGAAGACAAGGTTTGAAGGTACACAGGAGAGGTGGCCAGGTGGTTAAAGTGATTGTGCTCTGAAGGTCCAAGGGAGTAATTTTAATCACTGATGATGGAATCTAAACCGAGTAAGGGGAGGACTTCCCTAGTGGTTGAGGAGTTAAGACTCTGAGCTTTTCCAGTGCAGAAGGTATAGGTGCCATCCCTGATTGGGGAACTAAGATCCCACATGCCATGTGGTGTGGCCAAAATTTTCAAGATAAACTGAGTAAGGGGAGAAATAACTTCATAAGGGGGCTGAGCGACAGGGACAAGCTAACAAGTTCCCTGGATTATTTTAGATCCCAGTGGGGTCAAAACTTGCTGGTGCTTACTGCTGAAGGTGGTGAGCTAGAATGTCAGGAGCACTTTGGAATTCAATTTATGAAGGAATTGCAGTCAGTGCTAATAACAGTGTCAAGGGCATGGTGTTGAGAACATTTAACTAAGTTAAAGACTAAGATCACAGAAAGGATTAAAATGTGCCAGCGTAGTAAAAGAATCATCAGCGTAGACCGTGAAATCTTAAAAATGATGACGGTCGTGTTGAAAAAGCATGGGATTGAATGAGTAAAGGGGGGAAACCGAAAGGTCTAAGGATGGCTGCAGTAAGGAAGTAGGGGGTGGTGAGCCGTGAATGTAGAGGGCTGGCGTGGTCTTGCAGGCCGGAGCAGGAGAGGGAGGTGAGATCAGTGATGGGAAGCAGCACCACCACTCACAGACTTAGTGACACAGGGATGGGGCAGGAGAGAGACAGCCGGCTCCCTGAGAGGGTCTGAACGGAAACAGGGTCCTCAGAAAAACGCCAGATTTCTGTTGGAACAAGATGTGAAAGGATCTTCAAAGGATGAATTGAGAATGTCGGGGATTTTGCTAATGATGGACCATGAGCTTGGAGAGGACAAAACATGGATGGTTTTGAAAGTCAGGTCAGATGTGAGTCACGGAATCGGGTTTCAGAGTAGCCAGGCGGATGGTGGTGAGAGTCCAGGTACTGCAGGTCTGGGGCTCTCTGCGTTGGCTGTTGTGAAGGCAGGACAGGGTTAGTCCTGAGGATCTCTCAGGCAGCTGTGGGGTAAGAAAGGAGTTGGGGAGGGGTCTTCCCAGGTGCACAGGGAGCCCCAGAACGCCTTCTTTTCTGTCTCCAGTAGGGCTAATGTAAATCATGAAACATATTGAAAAGTGGGAGTTTGATAAGGCTCCACTGTCATCCTCTTTTAAAGTTATTGACAGAACATCGTATAGCTCAGTGTTTGACCTCAGTTAAAGAGATACTGTTTTCACTCTAAATTTGTTTTTCATACTTAGCATTTTATAGAATATTTTATTTTTCAGTTTTCATGATTTCAGTCTTTTAGTTTTCATGATTTATGCTGATTAATTATTAAGTACTTTTTTGCCTGTAAAGCCTTATGATACCTCTGTTATTGTGCCTGAATAGGAAAATTGCTACTTTGTAAATTAAAAAAAAATTTTTTTTTCTTGGCAGGCTCTTTTTCATGGGAAGTTTATTGATACTGGTTTCTCATTACCCTTCTACAAGCGTATGCTAAGTAAAAAACTGACTATTAAGGATTTGGAATCAATCGATACTGAATTTTATAATTCCCTTATCTGGATAAGGTTTGAAGATTTATCTTTCAATAAGGTATTTTCTGAAACCAATTTTACATATTTTGTTAATTAGTGGTTGTATCTCTCTATCACCCAGAGACAACAACATTGAAGAATGTGGCTTAGAAATGTACTTTTCTGTTGACATGGAGATTTTGGGGAAGGTTACGTCACATGACCTGAAGTTGGGAGGTTCCAATATCCTAGTGACAGAGGAGAACAAAGATGAGTATATTGGGTAAGGTGATTGTCCATACTTTCTACAACTGCCAGAGCATCTTAGAACTGTCTGTCTATACCCTTGTCTTTATGCCTTGTTTGCTTCTCTGGGGACATGTTCCACATTCATTTCCTCTTTCAGTGATCCTTTTTAATTATTTTTTCTCTACTCAATCTTCCTCTTAATTTATAAACATGTTGCAAAGCACTCAAAAATTCAAATATAATTTTAAAAAATCCCATTTCCCTTGCCTCTGACATACGTTTATTTAAATTCTTCCCAACAGTACTAACATTCTTGAAAAAAAAGTGTATATGATGACCTCCACTTTCCCACTGCCATTTGCTATATTGCATCCTACCTTGTCTGAATAAAAAATCAGAGAACACTGGTGCTAAAGAAGGGCTCTTCAAAGCCCATGCACTTCTTCATTTCTAGATGAGGAGATGGAGGCACTCTGTAGATAGTAGCAAAACCAAGTCTGGAGCCGCACCTGACTAGCACTGTGATACTCATTCCTATTCCATTTCACTTTCCCTTTTTGACTTACTCTTTTAATAGTGCTCACCACAACTTCTGGTTTGAAACTGTGCTCACTTAAACTCTGTGGTCCACACAGCTTACTGATTTTCTTCACTTTCTCTTTTAATGATGGTTAAGAAGTACTCTGTGTTTTAAAGCCTTTTACCTTACATAGAAAGTACCATCTTTTTAAATACCATCTTTATTTTCAGTTTAATGACTGAGTGGCGTTTTTCTCGAGGAGTACAAGAACAGACCAAAGCTTTCCTCGATGGCTTTAATGAGGTTGTTCCCCTTCAGTGGCTGCAGTACTTTGATGAAAAAGAATTGGAGGTTAGGCTCTTTTATTATGCTATTATAGGGAAAGTTAATGGGAGGAGGGTCTGTTGTTATGCTTCTGTAATAGAATGTCCGCAAGCTGTAAAAACATACGGCAGTATCTTCAGTCCACTCTGATTCATTGAAATGTTTAGGGGGTATAAAATTCCAGCACTGAGTAAGGGTCTTCAGTTCTCCCAAATGTGATGCTGTCATAGCGCAAAACCATCAGTCAGTGCCAACTCTTACGGCTCCTCAAGAGTGCAAACTTATTAATAATTGGGGGAACTCAAGTAGGGGAAACCATACAATATTTGTCTTATTGTGACTGCCTTATTTCAGTTACCATAATGTCTTCATGGTTCATCCATATTGTATCATGTGAAAATTGTCATCCTCTTTTAAAGTTATTGACAGAACATCGTATAGCTCAGTGTTTGACCTCAGTTAAAGAGATACTGTTTTCACTCTAAATTTGTTTTTCATACTTAGCATTTTATAGAATATTTTATTTTTCAGTTTTCATGATTTCAGTCTTTTAGTTTTCATGATTTATGCTGATTAATTATTAAGTACTTTTTTGCCTGTAAAGCCTTATGATACCTCTGTTATTGTGCCTGAATAGGAAAATTGCTACTTTGTAAATTAAAAAAAAATTTTTTTTTCTTGGCAGGCTCTTTTTCATGGGAAGTTTATTGATACTGGTTTCTCATTACCCTTCTACAAGCGTATGCTAAGTAAAAAACTGACTATTAAGGATTTGGAATCAATCGATACTGAATTTTATAATTCCCTTATCTGGATAAGGTTTGAAGATTTATCTTTCAATAAGGTATTTTCTGAAACCAATTTTACATATTTTGTTAATTAGTGGTTGTATCTCTCTATCACCCAGAGACAACAACATTGAAGAATGTGGCTTAGAAATGTACTTTTCTGTTGACATGGAGATTTTGGGGAAGGTTACGTCACATGACCTGAAGTTGGGAGGTTCCAATATCCTAGTGACAGAGGAGAACAAAGATGAGTATATTGGGTAAGGTGATTGTCCATACTTTCTACAACTGCCAGAGCATCTTAGAACTGTCTGTCTATACCCTTGTCTTTATGCCTTGTTTGCTTCTCTGGGGACATGTTCCACATTCATTTCCTCTTTCAGTGATCCTTTTTAATTATTTTTTCTCTACTCAATCTTCCTCTTAATTTATAAACATGTTGCAAAGCACTCAAAAATTCAAATATAATTTTAAAAAATCCCATTTCCCTTGCCTCTGACATACGTTTATTTAAATTCTTCCCAACAGTACTAACATTCTTGAAAAAAAAGTGTATATGATGACCTCCACTTTCCCACTGCCATTTGCTATATTGCATCCTACCTTGTCTGAATAAAAAATCAGAGAACACTGGTGCTAAAGAAGGGCTCTTCAAAGCCCATGCACTTCTTCATTTCTAGATGAGGAGATGGAGGCACTCTGTAGATAGTAGCAAAACCAAGTCCGGAGCCGCACCTGACTAGCACTGTAATACTCATTCCTATTCCATTTCACTTTCCCTTTTTGACTTACTCTTTTAATAGTGCTCACCACAACTTCTGGTTTGAAACTGTGCTCACTTAAACTCTGTGGTCCACACAGCTTACTGATTTTCTTCACTTTCTCTTTTAATGATGGTTAAGAAGTACTCTGTGTTTTAAAGCCTTTTACCTTACATAGAAAGTACCATCTTTTTAAATACCATCTTTATTTTCAGTTTAATGACTGAGTGGCGTTTTTCTCGAGGAGTACAAGAACAGACCAAAGCTTTCCTCGATGGCTTTAATGAGGTTGTTCCCCTTCAGTGGCTGCAGTACTTTGATGAAAAAGAATTGGAGGTTAGGCTCTTTTATTATGCTATTATAGGGAAAGTTAATGGGAGGAGGGTCTGTTGTTATGCTTCTGTAATAGAATGTCCGCAAGCTGTAAAAACATACGGCAGTATCTTCAGTCCACTCTGATTCATTGAAATGTTTAGGGGGTATAAAATTCCAGCACTGAGTAAGGGTCTTCAGTTCTCCCAAATGTGATGCTGTCATAGCGCAAAACCATCAGTCAGTGCCAACTCTTACGGCTCCTCAAGAGTGCAAACTTATTAATAATTGGGGGAACTCAAGTAGGGGAAACCATACAATATTTGTCTTATTGTGACTGCCTTATTTCAGTTACCATAATGTCTTCATGGTTCATCCATATTGTATCATGTGAAAAAATTTTTGCTTTTTAATACTGAATATATACAATATACAGGTATACATATACAACGTATGTGTATATATTTTCAGTATTTACTATATATGTGTAAGTAACATATATATCCTGGAGGAGGAAATGGCAACCCACTCCAGTATACTTGCCTGGAGAACCCTATGGACAGAGGAGCCTGATGGGCTGCAGACCCTGGGATCGCAGAGGCAGATGCTGCTGAGTGACTGAACAACAACAACATATATATAGTAAACAGTAAGAAAAGGCAAGACATGCGACCCTGAAGAATGAACTCCCCAATCAGTAGGTGCCCAGTATGCTACTGGAGAAGAGTGGAGAAATAGCTCCAGAAGAAGAGAAGAGGCTGGACCACAGCAGAAGCAACGTCCAGTTGTGGATGTGTCTGGTGGTGAAAGTAAAGTCCGATGCTGTAAAGAACAATATTGCATAGGAACCTGGAATGTTAGGTCCATGAATCAAGGTAAATCGGAAGTGATCAAACAGGAGATGGCAAGAGTGAACATTAACATTTAAGGAATCAGTGAACTAAAATGGACCAGTTTGGGCAAATTTAATTCAGATGACCATTATATCTACTACTGTGGGCAAGAATCCCTTAGAAGAAATGGAGTAGCCATCATAGTCAACAAAAGAGCCCAAAATGCAGGACTTGGGTGCCATCTCAAAAACAACAGACTGGTCTCTGTTTGTTTCCAAGGCAGACGATTCAGTATCACAGTAATTCAAGTCTGTGCCCCAACCACTAATGCCGAAGAAGCTGAAGTTGACAGGTTCTGTGAAGACCTATAAGATCTTCTAGGACTAACACTGAAAAAAAGATGTCCTTTTCATCATAGGGGACTGGAATGCAAGAGTAGGAAGTCAAGAGATACCTGGAGAAACAGGCGGATTTGACTTTGGAGTACAGAATGAAGCAGGGCAAAACCTAAGAGAGTTTTGCCAAGAGAGCGCACTGGTCACAGCCAGCAGCCTATTTCCAGCAGCACAAGAGAAGACTCCACGTGGACATCCCCAGATGGTCAATGCCGGAATCCAGTTGATTATATTCTTTGCAGCTGAAGATGGAGAAGCTCTATACAGTCAGCAAAAACAAGACCAGGAGCTGACTCTGTGGCTCTTAGATCATAAACTTCTTATTGTAAAATTCAGACTTCAATTGAAGAAAGTAGGGAAAACCACTAGACCATTCAGGTATGACCTAAATCAGTTCCCTTACAATTATACAGTGGACGTGACAAATAGACTCAAGGGATTAGACCTGATAGGCAGAGTGCCTGAAGAACTATGGGCAGAAGTTCATAACATTGTACAGGAGGCAGTGATCAAAACTGTACCCAAGAAAAAGAAATGCAAAAAGGCAAAATGATTGTCTCAGGAGGCCTTACAAATAGCTGAGAAAAGAAGAGAAGTGAAAGGCAAAGAAGAAAAGGAAAGATATACACATCTGAATGCAGACTTCCAAAGAATAGCAAGGGGAGACAAGAAAGCCTTCCTAAGTGAACAATATAAAGAAACAGAGGAAAACAATAGAATGGGAAAGACTAGAGATCTCTTCAAAAAATTAGAGATACGAAGGGAATATTTCATGCAAGGTTGGGCATGATAAGGGATAGAAATGGTATGGACCTAACAGAAGCAGAGATTATTTAGAAGAGGTGACAAGAATACACAGAAGAACTATACAAAAAAGACTTTAATGACCCAGATAACCATGATGGTGTGATCACTCACTTAGAGCAGACATCTTGGGGTGTGAAGTCAAGTGGGCCTTAGGAAGCATCACTACCAACAGAACTAGTGGAGGTGATGGAATTCCAGCCGAGCTGTTTCAAATCTTAAAAGATGATGCTGTTAAAGTGTTGCAGTCACTATGCCATTGGAGTGGAAAACTCAGCTGTGGCCACAGGACTGGAAAAAGAGATTGAGTTTTCATTCCAGTCTCAAAGAAGGTCAATGCCAAAGAATGTTGAAACTACTGCACACTCATTTCACATGCCAGCAAAGTAATGTTCAAAAGTCTCCAAGCGAGGCTTCAACAGTACATGAACCGTGCACTTCCAGATGTTCAAGCTGGATTTAGAAAAGGCAGAGGAACCAGAGATCAAATTGCCAACACCCATTTGATCATTGAAAAATCAAGAGAGTTCCAGAAAAACATCTACTTCTGCTTCACAGTAAAGTCTTTGACTGTGTAGTCCACAACTGTGGAAAATTCTGAAAGAGATGGGAATACCAGACCACCTTACCTACCTCCTGAGAAACCTATTGCTTCTATGCAGATCAAGAAGCAACAGTTAGAACCAGACATGGAACAATGGACTGGTTCCAGATTGAGAAAGGAGTATGTCAAGGCTGTATATTGTCACCCTGTTTATTTAACTTTTATGCAGAGTACATCACTGAAGTGCCAGACTGGATGAAGTGCAAGTGGGATCAACATTATCAGGAGAAATATCAATAACCTCAGATATGCAGGTGACACCACCCTTAGGGTAGAAAGCTGAAAGGAACTAAAGATCCTCTTGATGAAGCTGAAAGAGGAGAGTGAAAAAGTTGGCTTAAAACTCAACATTCAAAAAACTAAGATCATGGCATCCAGTCCCATCACTTCATGGCAAATAGATGGGGAAACAATGGAAACAGTGACAGACTTTATTTTCTTGGGCTCCAAAATCACTGCAGATGGTGACTGCAGCCATGAAATTAAAAGACGCTTACTCCTTGGAAGGAAAGTTATGACCAACCTAGACAGCATATTAAAAAGCAGAGACATTACTTTGCCAACAAAGGTCCATCTAGTCAAAGCTATGGTTTTTCCAGTAGTCATGTATGGATGTGAGAGTTGGACTATAAAGAAAGCTGAGCACCGAAGAATTGATGCTTTTGAACTGTGGTGTTGGAGAAGACTCTTGAGAGTCCCTTGGACTGCAAGGAGATCCAACCAGTCCATCCTAAAGGAGATCAGTCCTGGGTGTTCATTGGAAAGACTGATGCTGAGGCTGAAACTGCAGTACTTTGGCCACCTGGTTGGAAGAGCTGACTCATTGGAAAGATACTGATGCTGGGAAAGATTGAAGATAGGAGAAGAAGGGATGACAGAGGATGAGATGGTTGGATGGCATCACCAACTCAATGGACGTGAGTTTAGGCAAGCTCTGGGAGATGGTGGAGGACAAGGGAAGCCTGGCGGGCTGCAGTCCATGGGGTCACAAAGAGTCAACTGATAAATCACAGCGGTCACAACTGATATACATAATAAATATATGTGTGTATTTTCTTTATCCATTCATCAGTCACTGCATCTTTGTCTTCATTCCACCTTTTGGTGATTGTGAATAATGCTGCTATGAACATGAGTATACAGAATACTCTTTGAGACCCTGCTTTCAGTTCTTTTGAGTATATACTCAGGAGTGGTATTGCTCTATCAGATAGTAATTCTCTATTTAACTTCTTGAAGAACCGCTACCGTTTCCCATAACAACTGTACCATTTTCCATTCCCACCAAATGTATGTAAGGCTTCCAACTTCTCTACATCTTTGTCTATACTTGTTATTTTCTGTTTTGTTTTTAGTAGTAACAATTCCGTTAATAATAGTATGACGTGGTAGCTCACTCTGGCTTTATGTGTCCCTGACGATTAGTTACTGTGAATTCTCCAAGTCTCCCCCGTGTAGGTTAGAACATAGGGCAGGCCATTTAGGAAAGTGCTTGCATTTCCCCTCTGCCGCCTTTTGGGGACAGTATTTTAACTTCCGCCTTCCTGCGTCCTCTGTTAAGAAACTTAGTTTGTCCTGTAATCAAAATGTGCATATGAAAAAATTAGCATTTTAAATTTTATACAGCAATATTCCTATGTAGGAATTAGCCTTCTAGAAACTCTGACATGGGAATTACATGAAAATCAGGAGTCAGAGCCTGAGCTACAGGCAGACTCTGTAAACGTTAGTTAACGTCTCTTTCCTAACAGCTTGCTTACACAAATTAGCAGAAATGCATTAGTAGAATGGAAGATACTTTTTAGAGTAGTATTAATCATTTTTTAAATGACCAACTTTATTAAGAATATGAAGAAAATGAAACAATTTTGCATCCTCAAAATGCATACATCTAAAACACTCCATACCCTTGTTAAGAACTGCTGTCTTAGGGGCCCACTCCATGAGAGAAGGATGTTAAAACAAGAGCCTGACGTCAGAGCTGACAGGAGACTAAAGCGGCAGATAAAGAAAGACACTAATAGGTGCATATGTCACCTTGGTGGCGCTTCCAGTCTTCTCACAGGACACCTTGTGAAATAGTCTGGCTACATGATAAATAAGGAGACTGATTTGCTTTTGGCTCACAGTACAGAGCTGTGAGGAAATAAAGTTTGTTTTGTTTTGTCTTTCTCTTGTTTCTTCTACTCCCATTCGTTGTCTCTTTTAACCATAAATAATACCACAATAAAGAATATTTACACCATTATCCAGAAGAAAGGTTATCCATAATCATGCCCCTTTTTACAGGTTAAAATCTATTTGTAAGAAGATAAAGCAGTCATTCTGTATGACAGCTCTTCATTACACTAGGAATAGAAGGCAGCTGTCTCATTTTGATAAAGGGCATAAACAAAAAAGATAAATCCTAATATCATTCTAATAGTGATATCTTGAATATTTCTCACTGCGATTGGGAACTCAGTGATGTCCACTCTCACCACTTGTGTTCTACATTGTACCATATTCTGAAGCCAGTGCAATCAATAAGGCAGAAGTAGAAGCAAAAAGCATAAAGTTGGGAAAGAAGTAAAACTGCCTTTATTCACAGATGATAACATGATTGTCAACTTAGAAAATCCTAAGGGACCTACCAAAAAACAACCAGAAATGATAATGAATTTTAATAATTCACTGTAGGGTAGGAGCTCAGTAATTTAAAAAATCAATTGTGTATCTTCTGCATGCTAGCAGCAAACATTTAGAAATTGAAACTTCGAAGTTTCGTTTACTAATGCATTAAAAAAAAAAGAACAAATTTAGCCAAGGGCATGTAAGAACTCTATCCTAAAAACTGGAAGCATTGTTGAGAAAAATTAAAATTTTAATAAGTGGAGAGATATTTCATGATATGTATTGGAAGATTCAGTATTGTAAATACCAGTGTTCTCCAAACAACACAACCCGATCAACATCCTGGTAGAATTTTCTGTAGAAATTGATGGGCTAGTTTTAAAATTACAAGAAAATGCACAGGTTCTAGATTAGCCAAAACATTGTTGAAAAGGACAAATCTTACAGGATGTTTACTACCTGATGTCAAGAATTTTTATAAGCCATAGTAATTAAGGTAGTGTGATATTTGTGTGAGGATAGACATATAGGTCAGTGGAACACTTTTTATTAAGAGTCCAGAATAGATCCACATATATATTGTCATTATTTTCATCAAAAGTACTAATATATTTTGATGGGGAAAGGGGAAAAGTCTTAAACAAATGATTCTGGATTAACTTGATATTCATATAGAAGAAAATTAATTTTGACCCCAAGTCAGCTTATAAAGATTAATTTGAAATAAATTATGAATATAAATATGAAAACTAAAAATATAGCATAGTAGAAAAATCTTAGTCTAGACCGAAGTGTCTTAGGAAGAACACAAAGGATGTTGGACTTCATCAAAATTAAAAACTTCTCCTCAAAAGATGATGTCAAGTAAATGAAAAGGCAACCTACCTGCTGAGAGAAACACTTGAGACAAAGGTGTTATATCCAGACTATATTAAAAACCTGTCACTCAATAAAAAGACAATTTTTAAGTGGACAAAGACTCACTTCTTTAAGGAAGCTCTATTGATGGCATATAAACAGGGGGAGATGCTTACTAATCATTGGGGAAATACAAATTCAAACTAAATGAATTACCACTATTAAACATGCCTCAGCCTTATGTCCTAGCGGTTCCACTAGTAGGTGTTTACTCATGTGGAAATGAAATACATATGTTCACAGAAGAACTTTTCCATAAATGTTCATCACAGTTTTATTCATCAAAATAAAAAATTTGAAGTAACCTAAATGTCCATCAACAAGAGAATGGATAAATAAATTGTATATTTACATAATGAAAGACCTGTCAGCAATGTGAAAGAACCACTGGTACCCATCACAGCATGAATGAATCTCATAAACATTCTACTGGCCAGAGGAGAAAACAGAAGAGAGGGATGAGTGTAGTGTGTCTGCTGTGTTCGGAAATCTAGTCTGTGGTGAAACCACCGATCACCTGGGGCCAGGGATGAGGATGGTGGTGGTTAACTGCGACAAGGGACATAACATATTCTACCTCTTAATTATGGAGGTGGTTAACATGTATATACTTCTGTTAAAATGCACCTCTTTACTTAAAATATGCACGCTTTATTGTGTGTACATTATAGATCATAGTTGATAAAAGAAATAAAATATTGTAGTTTATCATGCCCAAAATAGTTTTCATCCCATATATAATAAACTAGAGTTATTTGAAAATTTTATATATCTAGAATATTTTATTCTCAAAGCCTGGATAGATGAATAACAGGAGGTTAGTATATTTTTAATTTTAAATAGGTAAGGTAGCATAGATTAAGAAAAGAAGAACCAGAAACTTATGTTTAAAACTTACTTGTATGTGATTTGGGATATGTGTGTAGTAAAAATGATTGTTTTTGTATAGCCGATGTTTCTCTTGAAGAATAGTTACTTTCGAATGTTTTTAAGTTCAGTAAACATGAATAAGATAAGAACCAAAGAATTCTGCATGTTAAATTGCCACACAATTTAGTTAGACTTGCTTTACTATGATCATTATTTGATGTACACATCGCCATTGACATAATTATGCATGTGCACAGCTGGGCATTAGCAGATTTCAGTCCTGTAGTTACTCTCTTCACTAAATCTTGACTCTGACCTGATACTGCGCTCGTTTCCCAGGTTATGTTGTGTGGCATGCAGGAGGTTGACCTGACAGATTGGCAGAGAAACACTGTGTATCGACATTATACCAGAAACAGCAAGCAAATCATTTGGTTTTGGCAGGTATTTGCTTTTATCTTTTTGAAACTAGCTACTGAAAGAAAATGTTTTCTGGGAGGGGGGATTGGGATGGGGAATACATGTAAATCCATGGCTGATTCATGTCAACGTATGACAAAACCCACTACAATATTGTAAAGTAATTAGCCTTCAACTAATAAAAATAAATGAAAAAAAAAAAGAAAATGTTTTCTGATGAAGTGGTAATTTGAAAACAGTTCATTTTTATGATTGAGACTGCTTTTGGACATGATATTTAGTCTTTGAATTTTAAATTAAAAGTGAATAGTGTAAATACTTGCTAAAGGATTTTCATTTCTTATTTCCTAAATGAAAGAACAAATGACCATCTTTAAATAATAGTTTAATGGTAATGGTTTTAGGTATAACATTTTTTTCTAGTAGTATGAAAGTATTCTATAAATTCTGCTTAATTTTGAAAGTAGAAGAGGAATATGTTTTTAATGAGAAAGTCAATGAAAATACTTAATTCCTCTCAAGGTGATAATGTGCCAGCAAATTAGAAGACTCTAGAGGATAATGTCCAAGAATGACTTTTCTTTCCTTTCCTTTTTCTCTCCCCCTCTCTTTCCCTCCCCCCTCCCTCCCTCTCTGTCCATCAGGGGAACTGAGTAAATAAACTGTAATATATCCGTTCTGTAATTCCATACCTTTTTGTCGTTCTTTTTCTTAATGCAAATTAACAAAAATATTGGAGAATAATGTTTTTCAATACAGTATTAAGGTTGAAAGGAAGTTGTATGTATTACTTGAGTTAAAGGAAAATACCTATTCTATATAGACTATCTGCTAGTGTAGGAGTCCACCCTCTGAGATAGCGGGCGCCCGGACAGAGAGCCGCCCGAGGCAGAGGTGTGCCTGCGAGCTGTTCTTCGCGCCGCGCCCTCCTGCCTGAGCTCCACACCAAGTGCACATGTTAGCGATTGTAGAAAGTGAATGAAAAGCAGGAATAGCTCCGTTTGCACACCTAAGCCATCAGAACCGCATCGCAGACAGAGCGTGTGCAAGTGTCTGTCCCCTCCCTTTTGGCTCTTTACCAGCTTCCTTGTTCCTTCTGTTCCCGGACACTCCCTTTGGGCATTTCTGTCTATATACCCGAGGAGCTTAAGCACTGGGTTATGTAAATCCAAATGAATAGTTGTGTTTTCTAAATGGGATTTCCTTGGAGAAGGAAATGGCAACCCACTCCTATATTCTTGCCTGGAAAATCCCAAGCACAGAGGAGCTTGGCGGGCTATGGCCCATGGGGTCGCAAAGAGTCAGACACAACTGAGCAACTTCACTCACTCGCTCACTCACATGGGGTTTGTTCTGGGGAAAGTGGTGAGGTTTATGCCAGCTCTGCTCACCTCCATTTCTATGTCTTGATGAAACGTGTTGCCTCAGCACAGTTCTGTGCAGAAACAGTTTTCGTATTTAGCACAACGTTTTGTCTTATTGTTCCTAAAGTTTAGTCTCTCTTTTTAAGATACATTTTTACTTTCACACTGTGCTCTGAGTTCCTTGCCTCCTGTTATAAGACACTCAGAGCAATTCAGATCAGTATTTCACATTACCTGTCTATGTCCACTTTGAAAAGAAATAGTCCATGAAGAGATACATATTTAGAAGAATGCATACTGTGGGTTTTCAAGTATGAAGAACACAGTTGGGAAAGTGGTGTTTAGTGAAAGACAGTATCACAAATTGCTGAGAGTGGTGGTTGAGAAGGATTTGTTCACTGTCAGTAGCTTGCAGGGTAGTCAGCTCAGGTCAGGATAACAGAGCTTTAGAGCTCAGTCAGACCTGAGTTCAGATGTTAGTTCCGCCACTTAGTAGCAGGTCGAGAAGGACAAATTCTTTCACCTCTCCAGGCCTCCGTTTTCTTTTTTTCTGATCACTTGTCTCTGTTTGACTGTGCTGGGTCTCTTGCTGCACACGGGCTTTTCTCGACTGCGGCGAGCAGGGGCTCCCCTCCAGCTGTGGTGTGCAGGCCTCCCATCACCATGTCTCCTCTGTTGCGGAGCAGGGGCTCTAGGGTGCGAGGGCTTCTGTAGGCGTGGCCTGTGGGGTCAGAGGTTGTGGCTCCTGGTATCTAGAGCACAGGCTCAGTATCTGTGGCCCACGGGCTTAGTTGCTGCACGGCACGTGGGATCTTCCAGATCAGGGATCGAACCCGTGTCTCCTGCACTGGCAGGCGGGTTCTTTACCACTGAGCCACCAGGGAAGCCTGGCCTCCATCTTCTTACAGGTATAGTGGGATGCTAATGATAGTACCTGTCTCATAGTATCGTCTTTAGGGCCGAATACGCACAAAACATATGGCGCATCCCCTGTTTTCATTTTCCTCCTAAAAATAGGAAATTGGGCTTCGAAATCAATACAAGAGTTGTAAGTTAACTTGAAATTAGAAATAGAATTATACATATGGATTTCTTGCTACAAATAATTTCCACCAGGTCGTAAAGTAAACTTGATTTTGTTATGCAGTTTGTGAAGGAGACAGACAATGAAGTGAGAATGCGACTCCTGCAGTTTGTCACTGGAACCTGCCGTTTACCTCTAGGAGGATTTGCTGAGCTCATGGGTAAGTGCAGTTTTCTCTGTAAATAATTCTGTGATAAATGCGTTTAGACACACAGCAGACTTAAGCATAAGGATTATTCTTCTGTGCTTTATGTAGGGCATCTACTGAAAGAAAGACAAATTAATGGTTAATATCAAGTACATTTGTAAGATAGGTATACGAGTCTGCTCTCAGAGGCTGGTTGGCCATTGCTTTGTGAAGGGAGCACGATTCTGTAGACACTGATCTTTCCACTTTGTGATTCTCATTGCTGGATCTCTGCAGCATTAAGAAGCTTCTCTGGGCAGAAGCCACTTACAGTATAGTTTATTCTGTATAATTCATGGTGATTCTGTGACATGTTCTGGTTTGACTAGTTGTCAAAACTAAAAAGTTTAAAGGACCAAATAAATTTTGTCATATTTTCCTGATTTAGGAAGTAATGGGCCTCAAAAATTTTGCATTGAAAAAGTTGGCAAAGACACTTGGTTACCAAGAAGCCACACGTGGTAAGTTCAAAAGTCTTAAATAGGACAGTGACTGAGTATAATTGTTGATTCATTAAAGTAGTCAGAATTTCAGTTTTTACTGATTAATATAGCACTCTATAACTAAACACTTTAGAGTGACTGGTTAATATAAATACTCAAGAAATGTATCCATTGATTCAACAAATATTTAGAGTGCCCACTAGGTATAAAATAAGATTGAAGTGCTCCCTGCCTTTTATGAAGTCTGTGCTCCATTGGGGGTGGGGCACAGAAGACAAACAGGTGAGTGCTGGGAGTCCTTTAAAGGGAACCAGGAGAACAGCTGGAGAGGAATCCCCACCAGATTGGATGGTCGGGGAGTTTCTTAGAAACAGTGATGTTTAAGTTGAGTTTGATGAATAGCATGCTGTGGGAAGAAATGGGGAGTGTATACTTTGTATAGGTATTTTTTACAGAAATAAAAGATGACTTGGTATGAATGGAACTTAATGATTCAGAGGAGGATAAAAGAATTTGGAAATGGGGGCCGGGGTACATTGCTGCTAAGTCACTTCAGTCATGTCCGACTCTGTGCGACCCCATAGACAGCAGCCCACCAGGCTCCCCCATCCCTGGGATTCTTCGGGCAAGAACACTGGAGTGGGGTGCCATTTCCTTCTCCAATGCGTGAAACTGAAAAGTGAAAGTGAAGTCGCTCAGTCGTGTCCGACTTTTTGCGACCCCATGGACTGCAACCTACCAGGCTCCTCCGTCCATGGGATTTCCCAGGCAAGAGCACTGGAGTGGGTTGGGTTAATAGTCTGTGACGAGCAGTTAGATTCTAAAGACAAGGAGAAGCCATTGAGGAGCCTTAAACAGGAATAATGCGATCTAAGGACAATTACTCTGGCAGCAGGGGGATGGCGGGAATTGGGTGAGTGCAGGGAGGTCAGAGCTGTTAGTCATCCAGAAGATGGTGCTGGCCTGAAGCTATGTGCTGCTTTCAGGAGGTCACAGCCAGTTTTCACACTGTCCTTTTTTGCCTTTTTATTGTTTTGACATTTGCACTTGTGGTACCAAAGTAGTGGTGGGTCAACAGCTGTTGACTTAGCACGGGTCAAGGCAGTGACATCGAACTGCTGTCTCTGCATTTTTCAACACCGCACATTTGAAGTTTCAACCTCACCATATTTGAAGTTTAAAAAAAAAAAGTAAAGAAAAGGCCAGGCTTATTGACAGTTGTTGATTATGAAGTGGTAAAAACTATTAACTTTATTAAATCTTGACACTTGGAGTATGTGTATAGTTTTTTTTTAATATTCTGTATGACAAAATAAATGGCAAGTCTACATAAAACACTGGTTTTTGTCTTGAGAAGAAGCTTTTAGGCAGTTGTTGAGCTGAAAGCTGAAGAGCTTGCTTCTTTGTGTGTGCAATGCTCTTTTTACTTGAAAATATAACAGATGATTTCATTCAGAATTTTTCCTTGAAAATTAAGTAAAAGCTCATCACTTTAAGGAAAACAACTAACAGCATTTGTTGGTGATGATAAAATTGAAGTTTCATACAAAAATCAGAATTTTGGAAAATTGTATATTCAGCTTCACAGCTTCCTAAGACTTTTAGTATTTGAAAATTCATTCTAACTTGGTGAACCTATATTTCCAAATAACTGATACATGATGTTATAAACTCACGCATGGGAAAAACATTCAAAGTGCAAAACAAACCAGTGGATTTCATATAACAGAATACAGAGTATTCTTTGATATGATTTCAAAACCCATATTATGCATAATCTTGTCAAACTTTAGTATATTATCAAAGAATAATATCCACAATTATCTGGAAAAAAAATTACTTGAGTACATCTCTGTTTTCTAACTGCATATCTGTATGGGCACAGTTTTCATATACTTAATCCAAAACAACACAGTTTGATAGTATAAACACATACGTATTAGAATCCAGATGTCTTTTTTTAAACCAGACATTAAAATGATTTGCAAAAATATGAAATGGGGTCATTCTTTTCACTACTTTTTTGAAAACAGTCATTTTTTTTTTTCATAAAAATAAGTTTACTTTCATTTTCAAAGTAAATTATTTTTAAAATTTAACTTATGGTAAATATCAATAGCTATAACTCACATAAACAAAAAACTCTTTGGATTTCTTCATATTTTTAGATGTGAAAAAGGGATCTGTTCACCAAAAACTTTTAAGAACACCAGGTTAGATTAAATTGGTGAGTCCAATGGAGGAGAGATTGTTGAGTCAGGGGACAGAGAGTTCATAACCAAAGGAGATAATTCTTTAAGGAAGATGGAAAGAACTGGGATTCTGAGTGTGAGTTAAGGAATTCACTTTTGATGAAAACAAGAACGTTTCCTTTGTTGTAACAGAAGAGGAAGAAAAGTTGGGTATAAACAATAGATAGATTTCAGATTTTGTGAAGGAAAAGAGTTGATCAACTGTTGATTTCTTTCCTCCAAGTATTTATAAGGTAAAGTCACTGGCTGACAATGAAGAAGGGAAAGACTTGGAAGAAGAAAGAAAGGGAGAGTTGTCAGGGACTAGACAAGTGTTTCTAGAGAAACATGGCTAAGAATGCTGGGCAGTGTTGGATTGCCCACTTGGATCTAGTAGTTCATGTGAAGTCATCAGATTTCCCCTGCAGTAATTTTCAACTGATAAGGTACAAGGAATGAGAAAGTAGAAGGCTGAATTCATTCAGAGTTTGAATAAGTTCAAAAAGGAGAGATAAGATTTAAAATATTTGCAAGGTATTGATTATAAGGATGGACCATGACCTTTATAAAGTATTAGGCTGGTGCAAAAGTAATTGCAGTTTTAGACCATGAATTTTTTTTTTTCTTTTTTATTAGTTGGAGGCTAATTACTTTACATCATTGCAGTGGTTTTTGTCATACATTGAAATGAATTAGCCATGGATTTACATGTATTCCCCATCCCGGTCCCCCCTCCCACCTCCCT